CCCGCCACCGCCGTCACTGCGCGAGCCATCGACTCCGTCTCAGGCTCTGGGGGGGGAACACAAGGCGAAATGGAAGGAAGCAATGGAAAAGGAACTGAAGGCCCTGCAAGACCGAAATACGTGGAAGCTGGTATCTGCGACAAAAACCAACAGGAAAAATGTGCTCTCGGGGAAATGGGTGTACCGCATCAAGACCAATGCGGATGGCTCCATCGACCGCTTCAAAGCTCGCTGGGTCGTACGAGGATTCGACCAGCGATATGGAACCGACTACACGGAGACATTCGCCCCGGTTTCCCGACACACTTCCCTGCGTATTTTGCTCGCCGTCGCGGCCACGAAAAAGATACCTGCGCCAGATCGATGTCGCCAACGCCTTCCTGTATGCACCTGTGGACGCCGAAATCTTCGTCGAACAGCCCCACGGATTCATCGACGATCCCACAAAGGTGTGCCAGCTGGTGAAATCCCTCTACGGAATCAAACAAGCCCCGCGGCTATGGCAGCAGCACCTTCACGACCGCCTCGTCAGGATCGGTTTTCTGCAGCTGCCGCACGATCAAGGCATGTACCGACTATAGAAGGGGGGGGGGATTTCGTCCTACTCATCGTCTACGTCGATGATCTACTCTATGTCGGCTCCACTACCGAGGTCACCACCTGGTTCGAAGGGGAGCTGAAGAGGGATTTAACACTCACGGTGTCAGACACCGTGAGCCAATACCTGGGTCTAAACATCGTCGAAGATGACTCAGCGCTCTACCTACACCCCGGAATATACGCAGGCGTTCTCGCGAAGAAATTCGACCTAACGCCAGTCGTAGTCGCAACTCCCTACCGCTACGGGAACAACAGCGACACCTCCGCAAAACTCCCCGCGAAGCAAATCCCGGAATATCAACAGAAGCTCGGCTGTCTACTGTTCGCATCAGTAACCTGCCGACTGGACCTGTCCTACAGTGCAAGCCAATTGGCGACACACCTGAAGCAGCCGGAGCAAGAGGATCTCGAGGAACTAAATCGGGCACTACTCTACTTCGTCTCTACGCTGACGACTGGACTTACCTACAGCAAAGTAACAACATCGTCCGTACAACTACTCGGCTATGTCGACGCCGACCACGCGGGAGATAGGGAAAACCGTCGCTCCAGAACGGGCTACATCTACCAACTAGAGCCTATCGGGACTATCTCCTGGCAATCGAGCAAGCAGGAATTAATCGCGCTATCTTCGGCTGAAGCGGAATATATCGCTCTCTGCACTGCAACCAAAGAAGGACTTGACCTACGGGAGCTGCTCGAGGAAGCGAAAATTGCGACCATGCCCGCCTTCTCGTTAGTCTGCGACAACCAATCCGCGATCAAAATCGTGAACAAAAACGGGTTCGCCAATCGAACCAAGCACATCGCCCTGCGGTACTTCTTCGTCAAGGATGAAATCGCGAAAGGGAGACTTCAACTCAGCTACTGCCCTACGACAGAAATGGCTGCAGATTACTTGACGAAGAAACTGGCGAAGGCAAAGTTCGATTACTGCATGCTGCTGACCGGGCAGATAAACGTCACCAAATCCGGACACGTCAGCACTCCAGAAACGAAGGGAAGTGTTGGAAATATCTCGAGGACTTAAGCGTTTCTGAAGTGTAACACTACACTCGAGGAAAGTCGTAACGGGTACGCGAGTCAACGGAGGTTACACGAGGGGATGGACGAAAGAACACGAAACGACGAAAAGGACTCGAAGGGTCGCAATCGGAGGTTGCGACTAACTGTTACAACTGCAAGGGTGGTAACCGAAGCGACAATCGAGTCGCTGTGCGACTCGATAACCGTTCCTTCAACCATATTCTACAACTGCTTTACTTTCCTATTTTCTATATATTGATGTATGCTTGTTTCTTTTAATCAATCACTTGCTCTCACATACTAGTGCAAGGGTTCAACTACTCAATACTTCCGCAGCACTACTCAAACCTTGTACAAGTGGGACTTAGTCTCTGAAAAGATCCTAACAGAGGGTACAACCAGTACGCATATATCCCACTTGTTCCACTTGTATTTATTGTTCGTTCTAGTTAACATGGTATCATGAGTAGGTAGGTCCACCCACCCGCTTCCGCCCCGCGCCCTAGCCTACCGCGCCCTAGCCTACTGCGCCTCGCTAGCCCCTCGCGCCCTCGCCACCCCTCGCGCCCTAGCTGGCTCCTCGCGCCTTAGCGGGCCCCTCGCGCTCCTTAGCGGGCCCTTCGCGCCCTAGTCGGCCCCTCACGCTGTTGCCGGCTCCTCGCGCCTTAGTGGGCCCATAGCGCCCTCGTCGCCCCCTCGCGCCGTCTCCAGCCCCTCGCGCCCTCGCTGGCCCCTCGAGCCGTAGCCGGCCCCTCGACCTGTAGCCGGCCCCTCGCCCCCCAACCGCCCCCCCGCGCCCTAGCCGGCCCCTCGCGCTGTAGTCGGCCCCTCGCGCCCGTACCGGCCCCTCGCGCTCTAGCCAGCCCCTCGCGCCCCTACCAGCCCCTCGCGCTCTAGCCGGGCCCTCGCGCCCCTACCGGCCCCTCGTGCCCTAGCCGGCCCCTCGCGCCTTAGCGGGCCCCTCGCGCCCTTGTCGGCCCCTTGCGCCCTAGCCGGCCCCTTGCGCCCTAAACGGCCCCTCGCGCCTAAGCGCCCCCCCACCCCCCCCTTGTGCCCTAGTCGGCCCCTCGCGCCCACGCTGGCCCCTCACGCCCTAGCTGGCCCCTCACGCCCACGCTGGCCCCTCGCGCCTTCGCTGGCCCCTTGCGCCCGAGCCGGCCCCTCGCGCCCTCGCTGGCCCCTTGTGCCCTAGCTGGCCCCTAGCGCCCTCGTCGGCCCCTCGCACCCTAGCTGGCTCCTCGCGCCCTTGCTGGCCTCTCGAGTAGTAGCCCGCACCTTGCCCGTCGCTCCTAGTCATGCGCCCGCCTATCACCTCCCCGGCTCCTGACGCGCTCTCCTGGCTCCTAGCGCTCCGCCGGCCCTTCTCGTCCCACCGGCCCTGCACGCCTCCGGCCCTCCTCAGCCTCCTGCCCTGTTTCCCCTGCTGGAGCGCCCTTCCGCCGAGCCGCTGAGCCGCCGTGTCGCTTTGCCGCTGTGCAGCCGAGCCGCTGAGCCGCCGTGACCCTGAGCCGCCGTGCCGCCGAGCCGCTGAGCCGCCGAGTCGCAGAGCCGCTGTGTCGCTGTGCCACTGTGCCGCCGAGCCGCTTTGCCGCTGTCACACTGTGCGATGGTGGATGCCGTTCTTCGCTTGGACGCTGAGGGGCACGCGATCGACTTCGCCGCCTGGCTCGTCGACCTCCGTCGGCACCTGACAGGCCAGCGCCAGGATGGGCACTCCCTGGCTATGCATGTTGATGGCTTGCTCCCCCGCCCCTCTGCGCCTGATCCCCTCCCCGCTAACCCCACCACTGCTGAGAGCGAGGCCTTTGGTGCTGCTGCGTTTGCTCGCGCTGTCTGGGATTCTCGCAATGCTGTAGCGCAGCTTGCCATTAGTCATGCCCTTCCCCTGTCTGAGCGTCCGTGCTTCACTGCTGTCGCAAACGCCAAGGACTTCCTCGCTGCAGTAGTTGAGCGTTACTCCACACCTGCTTCCGCCTCTGCTGGCCGCTTGATCCTACCCATGCTCTTCCCTGATCTTTCCGCTTTCCCCACTGTAGCTGACCTCGCTACTCACCTCCGTGCACTAGAGACTAGGTATCGCGCTGCTAGCACTGCCGCCCAGCTCGCTGTTTTCCCCCCACCGTTCTGCGCTACCTTGTACCTCATTGCCATTCGCCTGCCTGACCGCTTAGCCACTGCCCGCGACCACTTCCTTAGTCAGCACCCTGCCGACCTCACCCTGACTGCTTTTGTCACTGCTCTGTCTGAGATAGAGACTCGCCAGCGCACTATCACTCAGTCGAGCGGTGTCGCGGCAGTCCCTATCTTTCAGGGCTGTGATCCCTCCCAGTGCACGTACGCTGACGTCTCAGCTGCAGTTGCCACGACTGCCCCTGCCACTGAGACAGCAGCTGCGGCTTACCCGCAGCAGCGCCAGCGCCGGGGCCGCCATGGCCCCAAGGAAGGACGTGGTGGTGGCGGGGACAGTGGTTCTGACGAGGGGGTTGGAGCTGGTGTCCAGGAGCAGCAGGAGTTGTCGCAGTCGCAGCAGCAGCAGTTGCAGCCGCAGTCGCAGTCGCAGCAGCAGCAGCCGCCCCAACAGCAGCAGCAGCGGCAGCAGCAGCCGTGGGCTCACCTCCCGCTGGGGTGGCCAGGAGCCCCTGGAGGTGGTGGTCGTGGTGGTGGCCCTCGCAGCTCAGCGTCCATCGGCGGCTTCGGTTCTGTGAGCTGCCAGTACCAGCTCCAGATCGGGCCCCTTCGTGGCACGGTGTGCCGGCGCCCGCACCCGACCGCCCGTTGCTTCCGCCGCCTCGACGACCTCTTCCGTCGCCGCTTCGGTCCAGCCCCGGACCTCCCTGACTGGCCCAGTCTGCTGCGCCACAGTGTGCCCATGTTTAACTTAGACATGGATCATATTAGTTCTGCCCTGCATTCTCTGTATGCTGACGTTTCTAGTGTTTCCATATCCTATTACCCTGTGTTCTCTAGCTTAGGCGTAGCACCTGTGTGTAGTCCGGACTCCCCTGCTACGTCAGGCGTAGGACCGCTTGCCTTGTCTAGCCTATGCTCTACACTTGCTCCTCCTTCGTCTTCCACTACGGCTTCACTGTCTTTCAGTCTTGACTCCGGTGCGTCAGCCTGCTTCTTCCGCAGGTAATCCTTATTTGGGTGTCAGAACAAAGTATAGTACTAGAGTTCTGGACGACTCTTGTGATCCGACTAATTCGTGACCAGGGCCTCAGATTCGTTTTGGGGCACGCTGATCGCTCAGGGTCCCCCCCCCCTTGCCTCACTGTTTTTTCAGGCCTCGCAAAGAAATTTACGCTGATCAATTAGGGTGTTGTAAAGGTTTTGCGCTGAACAAACAGAGTTACCTACAAAAAACACACTGTTCAACTACATGCCCATTATTATTATCTTTTTAAAGACAAGGGTTTACAATCTAATATGGGCATACTAGGACCTACTTAAGCATCCTCCTCTGCCTACACGCTGTCGTGGTCTACAGGGGAATCGTCCTCCTTCTCTTTCCCCTTCCTGCTCTTCTAGGCTCTGCTCTGTGGGGCAGTGCTGTAGGACTTCCTCTTCTTGAAGGCTCTCCAGATGTCAATGATGGCATCCCAGTCCGGGTCGTAGTCTAACAGGCTCATACACATCAAGTCTCCAAGGCGTGAGTCCTTCATGCTGCCCCGCAGCCAGCTCTTAATCATATTATGGCGGGAAAACCCTCGTTCACATTCCACTGTGCTCAAGGGAAGAACTGCCGTAGCGCACCACAGCTTGACGAGATTGGGGAAGCTATCCTCCCAGTCTGGAGACTTCAGCATGGTCGTCAAGCCGGTGTAGAAACCCTTGTCATCCTTTGGCAGGGCGGCAAGGACGGGGCAGAAATGGGGGATCTCCAGCACAGCCGCTCGCTTGTTGATGCCTGCTAGTAGGGGAAGGGTAGGAGGGAGAACGAGGGGAGTATTAGTAAAATAGGGTAGAGCGGACCACATCAACAAATCGTGCAAGCCTCGGGCTTAAGGACAGGTGAGATACCTGGAAGAATTTCTTCGGCTTCCCCTGCATGGTAGAGGTCGACCATCATCCCGAACCACTCCAGACATTGGGTCTTCCGTGGAGCACGTTCCCACCCCTTCGGCCACTGGTTCGCACAGAACAACATCGAACCACCCAGCTGCTTCAAGTCCCCAAGCCGCTTGTCCAAGTTCTGCACCATGCCTTCGGCCAGCGCCATGCACGCCACGACACAATCGTCGTCCTTGCCCTCACCCGGGTAGCCATCCAATGGCTCCTCATGCAGGTCGAAGCTGAATCGACTCGGGCGCCCATCGGAGTCGACGCCCTCAACAGTGACGCTACGCGTACCACCACGACTGTGACGGGCGAGGAAGGCCGTGAGCAGGTCGTTCGGGCCCCCGTTGAAGTCATCGCCGCAGTCGACGTAGCGGCTTTCAAGGAGGGACGTCACGCGGGAGACCGACGCGTGAATCGTTGACATGTCCAGCTGCGTGAAGGGGTTTGAGAATACAGGTAAGACAACAATGGTTCGTCAATAGCGGTTTAGGAGCACCATATGACGAAACTTACCTCGCGGGTCTGGAAAGTCTTGTTGAGAATGTAAATCTGCTCAAGAACATCAGCAAGAAACATGAGCACAAACCAAAACCTGTAGCTCGTGACAATCTTGTAAAGACGGTCATCGGCAAACTCGGATAGCATGACGACGATGGCAGGCAAGACCTTCACCAGCCGTCGGATGGCCTCACCGCGTGAGAGCCATCTGACTTGGTGTATACCCTGCAGCTCCACGCACGTCGAGAGGAAGAAGTCTTGGAGGTCGAGGAAGTGCTGGTGCGACGGTCCAAAACGACCAAGGAACTCGGCCAGCTCCTTGATGACATCATCGATGATCTTGAAGAACGGCATGTCCTCCGCCGCCGCCTTAGCTGCCAGCGCCTCTCTGCACATGGAAGAGAACACGAGGAGAAATCAAACAAACCAGCATGAGTGATAGCTAGTATTGTCCCGAATCACCATCTGTGCAAATGCCAAAAAAAAAACATACCGGTGAGCGATGCAATGACAGGAGACCAGGAAAGGGATACGCATCCGAAATCGAGTCACCAGGCCGGCTTTCGAGCCCATCATCACCGCCGCCCCGTCTGTGCTGATGCCCGAGATGCGGCAGAGATCGACACCAATTGCTTGCAGGTGGGAGAGCAGCAGAGCGAGCAGAGAAGAGGCGTCCGCCTTGTCAACGCTGAGCAGCGCCAGGTACTCGGTGACAATGCGGAGGTCCCGGATGAAAGTGCAGAAGACTATCATGTGCTTTCCTCTGCAACGGTCCGTGCTCTCATCGAGGCTAAGTCCGATGAACAGGATTCGCAGGAGGTGCTCCAGCTGGGTGGTGTGCAGCCAGGTCGCGGTGGATTGCGTGAACTCCCCGAAACTGTACCTGTGTTAAATAACATAAAAAAATCTCGTCGTTAGTGGTTTATAAGGATCGAAATCAAGAATAAGAAGCTTAAAAATCTAAAGGAATTCAGGGCTTACGAGTTCATGTATGTCCCGTATCCGCCCTCGGGGAAGTTCTTGAACTTCCGCGAGGCAAGGTGGTTGGTGATCGTGACCCATGTGTCCATGGGTTCGTTGGTCTTGCAACAGGTGTACAGCAGGTCGAGAAGCGCGGTCACTCGCTCCCTCTCCAAATCCGTGGCGTGCGGGTTCTGATCGATTCGCGTCTGGGTAGTAGCTTCCTGCAGCAGAACGTTTTGCTTCCCGAACGCGAGGCGGTGCTTTCCGGTACCAGCGTGCCTGTTGAACGCCTGTGTTTGTGCGTCTGTGATTCCTGTCCCACGACGACCAGTCCTTCCAGAGAGCCCTGCATGCTCCAGATAGATGGTACACTTAAGGCAGGGCGCCCATCGTTAGTTTTACACAAAACGAGCCGGGGAATTCGCTCCTGGAGGTTGAAGGAGTCTCGTCTTCAGACGGCTCTTCATCGTCATCAGCAGGTATCGACGCCGGCGGCTCGACAGTTTCCGGATTCGGCTTCGCGAACGGTAACTTGGCCTGGCGGTAGCGACCAAGGCGCTTGGGAGTAGTCGTCGCAGTAGCAGGGCGCTCGACGACGGCTGGTGCCGACGGACCGGGTCCAAGACTCTGCTCAGGAAGAACGACTACATCGGAAACTGAGTCGGCTACTTCCTTTCTTGCAGGTTCCTGTTCTCTAGGCGCGTCAACGGCTCTAATCGGGATGCAGGTGAGGCTAGACAGTGTCGAGAGGAGCAAGTCGAACCCCGTGCACAGGTCTGCACGAGGAATGCTACCGTCATCGCGTTCTGGATCACCGTCGCTAGGTGCTGCCATCGCGCGATGGCAAAGGTAAGAAAATCAGTCACAACCGTGGAGGAGAAATGGAATAACGAGGGTGGAAGCACTCGACTTGAACGAGGCAGCAAGTGTGGCAGCACAACATCGATTGAAGTGATACATGAAGATGATGGGGTCTCTTGAGGTTTGTGGAGGGCACGTAGCTCGCAACAGAGTTCTACATGCATGGATGTGGTTCACGAAGCGGGTGGGTAGTGGGCCGTGCTGGTGGGCCAACTGTCTAACATTGTACCTGGTCTATTGGCTGCTATGGCTGTAATTTGGCAATGAGCCAATCCAAACCCTGCAGCTACGCTCTGTTGGAGACAGCAGTGGCTGGCTACTTTCGAACAGCCAATGAGACCCCGCCGAGCACTTTGTGCTGGAGGAAAATTGGCCGAATATTCTCCAGCGAGGCTGGAATCTGGTCGGTCACACTCGAGTCGGCGTGATTGACGGGGAGGGTGGGGGGGGATTCACGGAAATCACGGGGTGGGGGAGTTGGGGCTGGGAATCCACTGTTAGAAGAATCAGGGTCCAGCTCCGATACGACGTTGGAAAAACAGACCACACTACACTAGGCACGCTGATCGATCAGAGTTCACTCTTAAAAAACCCTGAAATTTCAGGCCTCTGTCTTAAGAAAAACTGTCTCATCAGGGTCACCCCCCAAAAAAGCCCTGATTTTACCCTGAATCAGGGTAAAAAGCTTGCAATCTGAGGCCCTCGTGACGGTCCTCACAATTGAATCGCCTCACGGGAGTGATTGCTGCACATCATTGTCGGCCAGCTGAGGGACGGGGGGAGGTGAAAAGACACATAAGAAGAGGAGCATGTCAACGGATGGGGGGGTGCGGATGAGAGTGGGTGGAGTAGGGGGGAGGGGGGAGAGAGAGAGAACGCTAAGTCAAAGGCGTAGCTATATCTTTGACCCTGAAAAGCACTGACCCCTGAACCGGAGTCAGGTGCAGGTGTAAGTGCAGGTGCAGGTGCCGAACCATGGTGTCCCGGCAGCACCTGACCTGGCGTGTCTTGGTGCCGAACCTACCTTCATGTTTTGCAGGCTATTGTTCCTCCACCTCATGAGCTCCATCAGTGCTGCCTGCGTCCACACCACCTCGCACTGCAGCTGCTAGGGGTTGGCACATGCACGGGTCAACAGTGGGAAGGGAACCACATGGCAGCACCTGCTGTGTCTTGGTGCGGAGCCTACCTGCGTGTTCCGGTAGGTGTGTGTTCCTCCACGTCATAAGCTCCACCAGCCCTGCTCCCATCTACACCACCTCGCACTGCAGCTGCGAGGGAGGGCATGCAAGGGGAGGGGCGTGCATGGGGGGAGAGAAGGATTAAGTATGTGAGGAGAGAGGGGGAGAGAGAGAGAGAGAGAGAGAGAGAGAGAGAGAGAGAGAGAGAGAGAGAGAGAGAGAGAGAGAGAGAGAGAGAGAGAGAGAGAGAGAAGAGAGAGAGAGAGAGAGAGAGAGAGAGAGAGAGAGAGAGAGAGAGAGAGAGAGAGAGAGAGAGATAGATACTGAGAGAGACAGAGAGAGAGAGCTATAAAGACTCTCACTCCCACGTTCATTCCTCATTATTCTTTTTAGCCCTTGGCATATTTCTCTCTCTGATCTTGGCGGCGGCTCGCGCCGGCGGCCTTCGGCCGCCGGCGCTCGCGACGCGGCCTGCGGCCGCGCGTATAGAGTACAAGCAGCCGGCTCACAACTCATAGTTATAGTTTATCTAGATATAAACAGTGCAATACATGACTCACTGGCCCTAGCCAAGACCCGGTGACCCCAAGCCCACAGGGCCTAGTGTGTAAACCCCACAATGGCCCGGGGTAGTAGGCCTACGCAGCCGTCGTTCAGTCCGGTAGCAAGGCCCGCTCCAGCACACCCCGCATGGAGCGGAGCACAGACGCGGCACCAGCGACAAGCCCAAGGGCAGTCTCCGACTCCACAGCCCGAGCAAGGGACCGCAAGGCGACAGGGGCGGAATCACTCTCGTCGACTACGCGACCAGGCGGCTGGGGAAGATAAACTAGACCCCAAAGCAACCTCGCCACCGCCTCCTGCGCCCGCGCTTTCTGACGCCGCGACAACACCGGGTCCCGGGCCACGGCAGGACGGCGAACCAGCGCGTCGTGCAGAAGCTGCAGCAAATCGGCCAACACGTCAAACGAGTCAGCAAGGGCCTGCAGGCGATCCGCCGACCGATACCGAGGACCGGATCGGGACACACGCAGCCCCGACACAGCCAGCGGAGGGGAGCGCCCAACGGGCACGCCGCGACGAGGGCCAGGAGTGGTCCGCCCCGCAAACAGAGCCCCAACAAGGGGAGCCCGTGGATCAGCACGACCAAGACGGGGGGGGAGCCCAGTGTAGGGAGCTGGAGCGTGCACGGGATGGCGACGACGACCCGCAGCTGGTGGGATCGCACCCTCCAGCCCAGCCACCGGCCCCAACAATTCCATCAAATGAAAACGGCGACGCGGGGATAGAAACAGGCCCAGCTCCATCTGGGCCCCGCCACTCAGAGGAGCTCCAACCAGACTCGCAGCAGGGGCAGCGGGGACACGGAGCGGGGTGGGGCACACAGCAAGGAGCTCTGGAGCAAGCGCGGGCGCAACCGAGGGAGCGAGGCGGCACCCCGCAAAACGCGCAGCGGCCACTGGCGACGGTGACCGGCGAGGACTCGCACGCCGTGGGGATGCGACGCGCGAGACGAGGCGGACGGGGCAACCGCAGAGGTACAGGCGGGCGGCTAGGGGTGCGCGTATCTAGGCGCAGACGACCAGTCGCGAGAGCGGGGAACTGGCGGGAGAGGCACGGCAGACCGGAACAACAGGAAGCGGAAAGCGACCACGAAGGGACTGACGAAGACGGGGACAGAGGTGGGGATTATGTACCATCGGAGGAGCAGGCCTCAGCGAGCGCAGCATCATCAAACCACGCCTCGGAAGACGCAGTGAACCGCTCGCGCCGTGAGGGATACCCGGTGAGGCGACGAACTGCAGGAGAAGACGTGAGGAGAGTGCCCGCGCCTGATCCAGCGGGACCTCGGGAGCCGGAGGACCTAGCCACTGATGAAGAGTTGTGGCGACAGGCCATCGAATGGGACGTGAGACCACTCCAGAGTACGCGGCAGCCGTTCCTGATTCGACAACTCCCCCCCAGAATTCTGCAGGCATACTGCGAATGTCTGCTGGTACCCCTGACACGTTTGGCGGAAAAGCGGGATTGCATGGGGGCTTGGCGAGTCCTAACTTTTCTCCCCCGCCTGACGCTTAACCCACCACCGGCCAATGAGGACAGGTGGAGGACAATCAATCGCAGACTTGCGCAATTCAGAACCGGAAATTGGGGGTCGCTGTATGAAGAGAGTGTAGCCGCAAAGACGGGCAGCCCGCAACAGCACAAACAACAGGACTCAACTGGTCTTCGTGCACGGTCCGAGGCGCTGGTTCGGAAGGCAAATCTAGCGAAAGCAGTCTCGGCATTACAACCAACCGCGACGTCACCACCAACCGAGGCGACTCTCGCCTGCCTTCGCCAAAAACACCCCACGGAGGATCGGCCAATCCCAGCGCACCTGGAAGCCTGCACGACATCCGACCTGGCGATTGACCACGCGGACCTCAGGCGAATCCTCGCCAAATGCCCTCGAGGCGTGGGGGCTGGCCCGTCAGGCACGTGCCTGGAGCACATCCGCGACCCGGCACTCGCCAACAGTCAAATTTTCAACTTGCTGCTTGACTGCGTCAACTACACCCTGGGCACAACACTCCCACCAGCGATCAGGTCGACAATCCTACCGTCGAAACTCATCGCACTCAGCAAACCAGGAGGAGGGGTTTGCCCTATAGCAGTGGGGGAAAGCTACATTCGCATAATCGCAAAAGCAGCAGTCTACAAGCTAGCGCCCATCACACGGACGTTTTTTCTCCCGTTTCAATACGGGGTGGCAGTATCAGGCGGACAAGAGTGCGTAATCCACACGACAAGGACCCTACTACAGGCGCACCCGAGCCACGTGGCCATCCAGCTGGACGTTGAAAATGCTTTCAATAGCGTCTTCCGCGCAGCCTTCCTGCAAGTCCTCAGTTGGAGCGCCCTGCATCAACTACTCCCACTGGCATTGACCCTATACGGGGCGGAAAGCACTCTGTTGCTCGACGAGGCCTTCGGGACGATGTCGCTGCTCAGTGCCAGGGGCGTGCGCCAGGGCGACCCGCTGGGACCTCTGTTGTTCGCCGCCGCCATCCAACCAATCTTGGCACGAGTAGGAGCACAGTGCAGTGACGTCGCCATCTTGGCATATGCCGACGACATCACAGTCGTCGGCCCTCCGGAGGCAGCGGCGGCCGCCTTCAGACACCTAAGATCAGGCCTACAAGAGTTGGGGCTGTCCTGTAACCTTGCCAAGTCGGCAGGATGGTCGGCGCTCGAGTCCAGCCGCGCACTCTTACCTGACAGCATCGCGCGGAAGCAGGATGGACTCCGAGTGCTGGGCAGCCCAGTTGGCACTCCCGAGTACTGCACGACCTTCCTGACAGCGGAACTTCAAAAGGCGGCTACCCCTCTGCCCCAGCTGGCAGCCCTTCACCCACAGCACTCCCTCCTCCTCCTCACGCGTTGCATCTCGCGGAGGGCAACCTTCCTGCTACGCACCACCCCGTCGGACGCGCTACCCGTCCAGAGATGGAGGGAATGGAGTGAAGAGCTCCTTCGCACGGCACTACAGGCAGCCAAGATACAAGCTCCGAGGGTCGAGCTAGAGTGGAGCCTAGCGTGGCGCCAGGCCACCCTCCCTATTGCGCTTGGGGGCCTGGGCATTGTGGACCCCATATCCGAGGCGCCTGCCGCTTTCCTTGCCTCGACCTTGGCGGCAGGCCAGCTGCTGGCATCCCTGGGGCTTGCCGTGTCCCCACTCACAGAAGCAGCGGCCTACCTCACTGGGAACCCGGAAACCGGCCACCCACTGCACACCATACAAACCGACCTGCGCCACCGCCTCCCAATCCCTGCCAGACTCACCTGGGACGAAGCACGACGAACCACGGCAGCCAACAAGCCGCTACAACAGCAGCTGTCCCGGGAGACCAACAACCAGCGGGCTGAAGAACTCTTCGCGGATACCCTCCTAGACAGACCAGGACACGAGAACGCGCACGGCACCCGCCTGTCCAGCCTTCGAGGGATGGGCGCCGGCGACTGGCTCCTAGCCATTCCTACCCGCCCGGACCTTACCTTCACACCGGGGGAGTTCGGCACGGCACTGGCCTTCCGCCTCGGGCTACCCCAGCCAATCCCGGGCCGCTGCACCTGCAGGAGAGAGACCATACGGGACCCGAGCTTGCCAAATCACCTCCTCCGCTGCAAGCATGGTCCCCACGTCAAGGGCCTTCACAACGCCCTGGTCTTCGCCGCACTCCGCATGGCTCGGGAAGCACGGTTCATCACTTACTATGAAACCACACAATTCACTGTTCCGGCAAACCGCAAGAGGGCAGACCTGGCTGTACGGAATGAGGAGAGTGGAGCAACGTGGGTCACGGACGTCACCGTGACAGACCCAGTGCTGCAACGCCGAGACATGGACGCAGGAGGTCAGCCAGGCTGGGCTGACCGGGAGGCGGCCAGAGCCAAGGAGCGGCTATACATACCCCGGCCGGCATTCGTGGGGTTCTTTGCCCTGGCCGTTGAGACATACGGAGCACTTTCCTCGTCCACGGCTGAGTTCCTCAAGATGCTCGCCGATAATGCTGCCCTGGTCCGCTTCCGCTCAAACGAACTGACTACACCAGCCAAGCGGCTCTACTCGCACTATCGACAGCGCTGGTCAGTCCTACTGCAGCGGCTACAGGCCGGCACCATCATCACCCGCTCCGGGGAAGCACTACAGGCGGCATTCCCCGCGCCCAGGTCTGACCCCTGGGCACCCAGCCTGGGGGATCTGATGGCCACTCTGGACGTGGCAGATCCCTAGGTTTCCATCGTTGTCGCACAGGTGTACACCTTGAATAGAGTTGGGGTAGCCTCACCGGTCCATCTCCTTAGCTGTTTTTCCATTTGTATCCTGCTTCCACAATCAATGAGAATGACCGCTTGAGAGAGAGAGAGAGAGAGAGAGAGAGAGAGAGAGAGAGAGAGAGAGAGAGAGAGAGAGAGAGAGAGAGAGAGAGAGAGAGAGAGAGAGAGAGAGAGAGAGAGAAAGAGAGAGAGAGAGAGAGAGAGAGAGAGAGAGAGAGAGAGAGAGAGAGAGAGAGAGAGAGAGAGAGCGCTCCCCTCCTCAGTGAGCGCGGAGTCCGCCAGGGGGACCCGCTCGGTCCATTACTCTTCGCCGCGGCTATCCACCCCGCCCTCCGAGCCACGGCGGACGCCCACCCCTCTATCCTCTGCCTCGCCTACGCCGATGACATCTCTTTCCTCGGTGACCCAGCCGAGTGCACCTCCGCCTTTACACACTTCACAGCTGCCCTCGCCGACCTGGACCTCTCCCACAACCCTGATAAGTGTGCCGCCTGGTCGGCGACACGACCGGCCCCGCACCTGCTGCCGCCGGCGATCCCCTTCCGCACGGACGGCCTCCGGGTGCTCGGCAGCCACATCGGCCCCCCGGAGGGGGCCGCCGCCTTCCTTCGGGCCCAGCTCGCCTCCATGGCCTCCCCCTTACCTATCCTGGCCACCATGGACCCGCAAATCGTGTCCTTACTGCTCCATCGGTGTATCTTGCGCCGAGTCTCTTACCTCGTGCGCACGACACCGGTGAACCTGCTCCCGACAGCCGAGTGGTCCAGGTGGGGGCGGGACCTCTTCTACACGCTCTTGCGGGCAAGCGGCCTACAGACGCCTCGAGGGGAATCTGAACAGCTCCGCACCTGGGCCCAAGCTTCACTACCGCCCTCACTAGGAGGCCTTGGCCTAGCGGACCCTGTGGTTGAAGGCCCGCACTCCTTCTTGACCAGCACCACCGGCGCCCATGCCCTCCTCGCCTCTCTGCCCACCGCAGCCACCAGCCCCCTGTCAACGGCACTCCGGCCCTTGGCGCCTCCGTTCTCCAGCCCCACCACCCTTCATACCTGGCTGACGGAGTGTGAGGCGACGCTGCCCCCACGCGCCCTTGAGCTTCTACAGTCGGAACGAGCGGAGGCGTCCGAGGTACCTTTGCAGCACCGCCTGTCTCTGGAGGTCCAGGCAGCCCGCTATGCCGACCAGGTGGAGGCCAGCCGCAGCATGCCGTTGAACCCCAACAGCGGCCATACACAGCGCCTTTTCTCCCTCACGGGGTATGGCGCGGGGGACTGGCTCCTAGCCATCCCTCTATTCCCTTCCCTCCGGCTTACACCCCCGCACTTCGCGATCGCCCTCGCCTTTCGTCTGGGCCTCCCCCTCCCTGTCCCGAGGGTCTGCAACTGCGCCAAGCGGGTGGAAATCCCCGACCCGCGTCTCCCAAACCACCTGCTCCGCTGTGGGACAGGGCACGGACGCACTAATACACACAACGCTCTCCGGGACGAGTGCACTCGCATGGCACGAGACGCACAGTTCATCGTCGAGAAAGAAACTGCCACCTATACCCCCATCGGCGACCAGACTGCCGACCTGGCAATCCGGGACCGTGACTCGGGCGCAGTATGGATCTGCGACGTCACCGTCACCGACCCGATCAGCAGCCGCGATCCCCTGGCACGGAAAGGGAGGGGGTACATGGCGCGGGAGCAAGCAGACAAGAAGATAGACCACTATCGCAACCGCGCGCCGTACGTCGGTTTCTTCCCCCTCGCCGTGGAGACCTACGGGTGCCCCTGTGCCGAGGTGCCCGCTTTCCTACAGCTCCTGGCCCATACTGGCGCCCGCCGCCTCTTCAATGCGAACCCGACCTCGTACCAGGCCGCCAAGCTGCTCAACCAGTTTCGACAGCGATGGTCGGTCACCCTCCAGCGCGGACAGGCCCTTTCATACCTCGGCAAGGTCAATGAAGCCGCCCCGCTGGAACGACCTGTCCTCGGGGCGCCAGATGACGGCATGTCTCTCGGGGACTGTTTCGTCATTCTGGAATCTGCGGGGGAACCTAACTCAGTTTAGCTGGGGGAGGGAGAGCGGTTTTTAGGCTGCATGCCCGTTCCCGACCCACTTGGCTAGCTCTGTACTCAGGTTCCTAATGAATACAAAGGACCGCTTGAGAGAGAGAGAGACAGAGAGCCCATGGTATATAAGGCTCTTCCACCCATCCTAGAGTTCTTTATTTAGTTTCGGCCGCCGTCGCTCGCGGCGCGGCCTCCGGCCGCGCAGGAGGGCAGAGAAGGAGTGGGGACAGGGATCCACTCCAAAACCAGGGACATTACAGCATACAAGCATGCCTCCACAGGGGGCTACAACCTAGCAAATAACCTATGGCTACGGCGCCACCCACAGCACACGATGGCGGGGACCTGGCCTACACGCCAGACAACCGCCCACCTACTACACCTCCAAAGCCGACGGCGGGACAAGGGCCCCGGCCCGACTCTCCAAAGCCCGAAGCACCGCCGCGCAAGCGGCCAAGATCGCCGGGCGCTGATTCGCCACGAGCGACCGATTCGGCGCGAGGAGCGGGATCCAGCTCCCCCGCCTCTGCTCCTGGCGGCAACCCATAGGCCAGCCGCCAGAGGAGTAGCGACGCGGCCTCCATCGCGCGTCGCTGCTGGCGGCGAGACATCGCGGGCCGCCACGAGCGTCCCGCCTCAGGTTTCCGTGGAGGCGCTTGCAGCGGAGGTGGGCGGAGACAATCCAGCACCTCCGCCACCGCGCCAATACATGCGACGACGCCGGCCATCGCCTCAACTGGCGAGAACGCGCGCGGCGACGCCAGGCGGACAGGCGGACGAGGAAGCGGCGGCGGGTCGCCGAGCACATCCACTGGTGTCGGCGGCATACCCCGCCCCACCCGCAAACCCGACCCCTGAGGACGACCGGAGAGAGGCGGAGAGCGGTCCCTTCGTCTTCCGGGCACTACGGTCGGAGGTGACCCTGCCCGAGAGCCCGCCGCGGCGCCCCCGCGGGGACGCTTCATCGGACGAAACGGCAGTGGCGGAGACCCCGCGGACACGCCCTAACCCGATACGACGTCGTGTCCGACAGCGGCTGGTGGTCCCGCTGGCGACTTTGGAGGAAGCAGAGGAGGCGGTTGGAGGACCCCGCGGGGAGAGGAGTCGGGACCACCGGCGAACCCCCTCGACGGAGGGGGAGCCAGAGGGGCCGGGGGGACTGGAAGGGGCGACAGCGGACGGGGCGACGGCGGAAGCCGAGACGGAGAAGGAAACGACGACGGCTGAACCGGCGACAGGGCGGTCGGGCGACGCGGGGAGCGATCCATAGGACTTCCCCCGAAACCAAATCGTCCAATCGCGGGCGCGGGCGCAGGCGACGGCGGAGAACACGCGACCCGGTCGCCAACAGCGGACCGAGGCAGCCGCAGAAGCTGCTCTAGAGCGCTCGCGATCGCTGCCACCTGGACCTGCTGCTGCCGAAACTCCAAGCGCAGCTGAGACGTTGGCGACAGAGCCAGCGAGACGCCGGAAGGAGAACCCACCGGCGACGGGGACGCTTCCGCCTCACGTAGGGGCAGGCGCGAGGGGGAGAAAAGCAACCCATGTGTCATCTCTAGCGCAGCCGGAAAGAAGCAGAGCCCCGCACACGCGAGCCACGGCCCGCGCAAGTACAACCGCGGCCCCGGGGGGGGAGCGGGCGAGAAGCACAACCCGAGGGCACAGAGGAACGAGGGGCGGACGAGGGCTCGGGCGAGCGTCGACAGGCGCGGCAACCTTCCGCGGCGTCGCCGCGCGACTACAACGCGAAGATCGGCGCCGGGGAGCACACCCAGCCGCTGCAGCAGCCAACGCCAATGGAGCGACGGAGTCAGAAGCAGGCGGGGGCGGAGGGACGGACCGAGGGATGGAAAATTGGCTAAGTGCCGACACTCCAGTTGCAGACACACCAGGAGGAGGAGCTACGCGGGGAGCAGCGGAAGGGAACACGGAGGGGGCTGATGATGAGGACGATGAAATTCAACACGCAAACGACCCCACTTATACCCCTCCAATCGGGGTAAACTGGGAAGGCGCCCCAGACGAGGGAGACTTGGAGGACTCCCCCGCCCGAGACGCAAATGTGCGGCCCGGCCAATCCAACCGGCGAACCGCCACATCCAACACCCGCCGCGGCTCGACAGTCGCCCGCAGACCCACCCCTGCAGCGCGGGTACAATCCCCTCTGGCGTTGGCGAAGAACGACGAACTCTTCGCCAAGGTGTGCGAGTGGGACATGACCGTGCTCCGCGACTCCAGGCTCCCACCCCTGGCACGTCGCCTACCGCGCGAAATCCTGGCGGAGTTCGCGTCCTGCCTGCTGACACCGCTGCTACACCTCGCGCGTAACAGGGACAGCAGAGGAGGTTGGCGCCTGTTACTCCTCCTCCCTCGCCTGACACTCGCAACCACGTCGACGAGGAAGCCGGACTGGGATGGAATTTTTACGACGTTGTCGAAAATTCGCCACAGGCGCCTGGGATTCATTGTACGACGAGGCCGTGACCTCGATTTCACTACCACGACCCCCACACCACGCGAATGACACCGCCGGGCACTTAGCCCGAGCGGAAACACTCACTAAGCGCGGAAACCTGCGGAAGGCCCTCCAAGCCTTGGAATCCACCCCAGTGTGCGAACCCACCCTGGAGACACTTAACGCCCTCCGAGACAAACACCCCGCCGCCGAACACGCCCTCCCCAACTGGGCGACATTCTCAAGCACACCACCTACCGACGCCATCACAGAGCCGCAGCAGCCGCTTCTCACCATCACCCCACGAGAGCTCAGAACCGTACTTCGACGGAGCCCGAATAGGGTCGGGGCGGGGCCAAGCGGTATGTGCTTCGAACATCTGCGGGACGCAGCCGCCTCGAACGCTGACGTCCTGAACCTGCTCACAGAAGTGACCAACGCGGCACTCGCAGGGCAAGTGCCGCTAGAGGCGGCGGACCTCCTCACCGCCTCGAGATTGCTGGCATTCACCAAACCCGACGGCGGAACCAGGCCCATCGCCATCGGCGAGTGCCTACTATGCCTCTTCGGCAAGGCCAGCCTGTACCTCACGACGACCCTGGCCCAAGCCCACTTCGCGCCCCTGCAGTTCGGAGTGGCGATGAAGCGAGGGGGCGAGACGGCGGTGCACGCTACAAGAACCCACCTCGAACAGCACCCCGAACACCTCCTCCTCCAGGTGGACTTCTCCAACGCGTTCAACTCAGTCGAACGCATCGCCTTCTTCCGCGCCCAACGCGACAGCCCTCTCAAAGGACTGCTGCCCCTAACCTGCCTCTTCTATGGAAGGCCATCGAGCCTGCTGCTCGACCACGCGTTCGGCGCTGACCCGCTCATCAGCGAGGGGGGCGTACGGCAAGGCGACCCGCTAGGCCCCATGCTGTTCGCCCTCGCCCTCCACCAGGCGCTGACCATGACAGCAGAGGACTACCCTGACGTCCTCATACTGGCATACGCCGACGACGTGACCATCATCGGCCCGCCGCCGGCATGCGCGGCCGCCTTCTATGCCCTCACAGGTCGGGCAGCAGCGGTTGGACTCTCCTGCAACGCCAGCAAGTGCGCAGCCTGGTCACCCGCACCGGTGGATCCCGCGCTCATCCCCGCCGGAGTACCACTCACCCACGACGCCATCAAGGTCCTGGGCAGCCCCATCGGCACCACCCACGGATGCGGGAACATCATCCGCCGCACGCTCGAAAAAGCGGCAGCGGCGCTCCCCCTGGTAGAGCAACTGCACCCGCAAGTTGCGCTGCTGCTCCTCACCCGCTGCATCACGAGGAGGGCATCCTACCTCCTCCGCACCACCCCCACCGACCTCCTCCCCCCCGAGGAATGGACGCAGTGGGGGAAGTCCCTGCTGGAAGCTGCGCTCAAGTCATGCGAGCTCCAGCAGCCACGGGACGCTGAAGGCCGAGACCTCCTCTGGCGACAGGCGACCCTGCCGATCACCATAGGAGGCCTCGGCCTCATTGACCCCGCCGCGGAAGGCAGCTACAGCTACCTGGCCTCCGCACTACAGGCCGGGGACCTCCTCCGCTCCATGGAACCCCTTGACTCCTCACCCCTCGCCGACCTCCTCCACCTCCTCACTCCGCCCTTCACCGCCCAAACGCCCCTACACCACCTGCTCAACTGCCTGGAAGCGGCACTCCCCGAACCAGCGCAGTCCACACTCACCCGCCCGCGCGACGAACCTGGCGCCAAGCTCCAGCATGCCCTAGCATTGGAGGTACACGGGGCCAGGCACGCACGGCTGGTAGCAGACTCCAACACATGCCACTCAACCCCCTCCTGGGCCACACCCAGCGCCTCCTCTCCCTGCTCGGGCCAGGAGCAGGGGACTGGCTAGTCGCCATCCCCTTCTCCCCGGACCTAAGCATGAGCAAGGGGCAATTTGCCACGGCCCTAGCCTTCCGCATGGGCCTGCAGCACTCCCTACCCGGCAAATGCAACTGCCGGGAAAAGCAGGCGATACCAGACAACCGGCTGCCCAACCACATGCTACGGTGCACCCTAGGCGGGGGTCCAAAGCGGACCCACGACGCGCTCGTGAACCTCGGGATGCGACTGGCCCGAGAATCCCACTTCGTGGCCCACATGGAATCCACGCTCTACTTACCCGAAACTGCCCAACGCCGCGCCGACATCACCCTCCGATGCCCGGACTCAGGCGCGGTATGGGTCTGTGACGTCACAGTCACCGACCCCATCTCAACCCGCGACCCAACAGCACGAAAGGGGACGGGGTGGATGGCGGCAGAGATGCAGGGCAAGAAGCGGGACCTGTACGACGAACGACTCACCTTTGTGAAGGTGCTGGGAGTCACCACTGAGACATACGGCTGCTGCTCCCCCGACACACTCGAGTTCCTCCGAGTACTGGCTGCCCTCTCAGCCTGCCGGAACCACCAGGCCGACGAAAAGTCGGCGGTGGCAAAGAAGGTACTGCACAGCTATCGCCAGAGGTGGTCAGTCACCCTCCAGCGGCAGCAGGCAATCACCCTCCATGCGAAAATTGGCCAGGTGACAGGCCAAGCTTTCAGCCACGACCGCCCCCTAGACGAACCTCTTACCTGGTGAGAACTGGAAGCCACCATTGAACCTACCTGCGACAAGTGGCCCGGGCAGCAGTAGGATGCTCGGGGACACTAGGACATACATAAGCCTGCTTGTACCTATGTACCCCTTATAAACATAATAAAGGACTGCTTGAGAGAGAGAGAGAGAGAGAGAGAGAGAGAGAGAGAGAGAGAGAGAGAGAGAGAGAGAGAGCCCCCAAACATGCACGTACCTTGCCCTGCTGCCCCTTGCCTGCCTTGCCTAGCCTGTACCCAGTTTTCCAAGCAATAAACGGACCGCTTGAGAGAGAGAGAGAGAGAGAGAGAGAGAGAGAGAGAGAGAGAGAGAGGCGAAACAGGCAGAAAGGGGAGTAGGGAGCAGGAAGCAGGGAGCGGGGAGCGGGGAGCGGGGAGCAGGGAGCAGGGAGCGGGGGGAGTAGTGGGCCAAAGGGGAAGGCGCTGTGCGGTGTTGGGGTAGCTGGCAGTGAGGGGATGAATGGTGAAGGCAAGGAAGGGGAACGTAACGTACCTTCTTCTGCTCTGCATTAACAGAGATGATTTTTAAGGTGCCGCAAAAATAGACAAGGGGGGCGTAGCGTAGCCTAGCGTAGCGCAGCGTGGCGTACCTTCTTCCGGGTCGAGCGAGAGCTGGTGGAAGGGCGTCTTGGGCTCGTCGATGGTCATGGTGGCGCTCTTGTGCTCCTCGTTGTACGTCAAGTTGCCCTCGTCCCACTGCACCTTGCGCCTGATGGGATGGGATGCACGCAGGCGCACAGGTTTTGAGTTGACTCAAAACGAAACCATTACGACGCCCTCATCCCACTGCACCTTGCGTGTGATGATGCCACGACACGGCACGCATACAGGCGCACACGCATGCATGCATGGATGGATGGATGGATGGATGGATGGATGGATGGATGGATGGATGGATGGATGGATGGATGGATGGATGGATGGATGGATGGATGGATGGATGGATGGATGGATGGATGGATGGATGCATGGATGGATGCATGGATGGATGCATGGATGGATGCATGGGCGCAATTGCCCACGCAATTTCACAAAATCTTACGCAGTGAGAAGGGAACCAGTCGCACACAGGGCTTGTCGTGCACCTTGTGCACGCACTCACACACACACACACACGATTGCACCCACACACAAGTTGGGTTGGAAGTATGCACAATGCACGCAAGGATGCAACGCGGGAGGACGACCGAAGTGCACGGAACGAAAAGATGGGCAGTGGGACCTCGCGCGGCGTGGCGGAGAGAAGGGGAAGCGAAAGCAGGCTGAGATCCCAACGGTGTGATTCTCGCACTAACCCATCCCTATCCCGCTTGCTCCATTCCTTCCCCTCCATCCCGTCTCCGTCCATTCCTGCTCCCTCCCGTCCCTTCCCATTCCCACCCGCACCGCGGTTTCTTCTCCTTCGTTCCGTGAGCCAGCCCGCCTCTTCTGTCCGCCACTCCCTCATGCTCCTCGCCCTGATGATCCGCCATAGGCAGCCTCGATGGTGGGCGAAAATGCACCGGTGCGGAAGGGGGAGGAACGCCGGCTGAAAGCCGTGCGAAAGTGCACAATTGCTACGACGCGAAAATGCAGCTCGCCCTGATGCTGTTTCGCTATTTGGTGTGCCGAAGAAAAAAAAATGAAACGACGAAGAAAAGTACAAGAACTATCGGTGTCGCCGAGAGCTGCAGACTACCAGACGAGACAGCGAAATAGACAGCGGTGCACTCGTCGCTAAGTCAGGCCTCGACAGGAATAGAAGAATTGCAGGAGCTTGTGTGGAGTAGCAGGCAAGGAGACGATCAGAGAGTGGTATTGGGGAAGACTGTTTGGTGTGGACAGTGGTCACATGAATGGATGTCTGCTGTTTGTGTAATAGCTGAGATGTTTGGATGGGAATGCACCGCCCGAACGCGCTAATGTACAACGCAATGTTATGTGCATATAAGTACAGTTCGGCACAACTAAATTGGCAACTACTTTTCCTTATTTGGAAGGGATGTTTTCTAGAGCAGGGTTAACATCTTTTTATTTGGAAGGGATGTTTTCCCTCGCATTTGTGAAAACATTTGAGCGGAGTGTGAAACAAGCGTGGCCTGGTCTCGTTCACTGCACGCACAGGATTCGTTTATTCGGTTCGCTGTTTCACAGATTCGGAGCGAAAATTGCACTACATATAATTATGCACACAATTCACGCATTTAGGCACCGGGGACGAAGCTGGTGGCATAGGCCCAGGCGTTGTTGATGGAGGGCTCGGCCAAGTGGTCGTTCAGGTTCTCCAGGGGCGACTTGCCGGTGACAATAGCCTGGAAGAAGAAGCCGAACATGGACACCATGGCGAGACGGCCGTTCTTGAGCTCCTTCACCTTCAGCTCAGCGAAGGCATCGGGGTCATCAGCCAGACCAAGGGGGTCGAAGGCACCGCCGGGGTAGATGGGGTCCTCAACCTCCTGGAAGCCAGCGAGGCCACCCACGCGGTAGCTCTCGACGGCACCCATGAGAAGGACCTGGGTGGCCCAGATGGCGAGGATGGACTGGGCGTGCACCAGGGAGGGGTTGCCGAGGTAGTCAAGGCCACCCTCGGAGAAGATCTGGGAGCCGGCCTTGAACCACACGGTCTCACCGAAGTCGAACGAGCCCGCGAGGAGCTCGGGGGTGAGGCAGCCCAGAGCGCCGAGCATGGCCCAGCGGGCGTGGATCACCTCAAGCTCACGGTTCTTGGCGAAGGTCTCGGGGTCCGAGGACAGACCGGCGGTGTCCCAGCCGTAGTCACCGGCGAACTCGCCGGTGAGGTACGAGGGGGTCTGGGAAGAGAAGGGGCCCAGGAACTTGGGGCGGTCGGGGCCGTACCTGAGAGAAGGATAGAGAGGAATTAGCTAAAGGTACGAATGGAATTGGAAGAGGCAATAAGGAAAGAGAATTGCAAGTGAGAACGTGCGGGAGACAAAGGAAGCAAGTGCCACTGACCAGTTGCTCTCGGGGGCGCTCTTCACAGTGCGCCTCATGGTGACGCGGGCCTCGGCATTGCCGACGGTCTTGGCCAACTCGGCGGTCTGGCCGACGAAGGCGCTGGAGAACACAGCGGAAGAGGTGACGGCAGCCATGGTGACGGAGAACAGGAAATCGGAGGTGGAAGACTTGACAATTGGCACCACAGAAATCCTGTTAACAATTGACAAGTGGGGAAAGTCGTGACTAAATAGCAAAAGCTGTGGGGGAGAGGGCATACGTGAGTGCCCAAGGAGTTGGAACTTAGAGAGGGTTTGTCGACGTGGCAACGGAAGACAGGTTTAAAACTTCAGCTGAAGATTTCAAAATCAGGGATCGCCAATCAGATGATACGGGAATTTCACAGCACAAGGAATTTCAGTGACGTGGCCGACACCAGAGCATCGCGGAACTTCGCGGGAACAGGGACCGAGAGGTACATGGGTGAGTGATGGTCTTCCGGTTTTTGCGCCGCACTTTATTCCCATTCTAGCTTGTATGCCCGTGCCACGTCACGACATTTGTGCTGCTGTTGAGCAACACTGCTATGGAATATACGCCTTTGGTAACTGGTTACATACCGGGAATTTCAGCCCATATCAAACACTGTGGTCTTTAGAACTGGGCTTGTAGATTAGCTTCTTGGTGCTACAAATTTGGGTTGGTAAAAACTATGAAAGCATCAAGCGTTTTCAAGAAAAAATATAGATTGATGAAATTTACACAAGACATGGTGACACACGGGTTGCACACATTTAGCTGAACGACAGTGGTTTGGGAACTTAGGGTGTGTCTCGTGCGTACGTTTATTGCTCAATACCCTAACAGATCATTTCAGACCGTCACTATAAACTTCCTGCCCATAGAGAGTCTCACAAATCCGCAATCAAATGTACATGCGGGACACACCCTTATATGGAGGTATATTCATTTAGAGTTTGGAAGGTTGATAGGGTAAGATTATTTGAGCTCAGGCCTTCCGCCATTTGCTGGAGGTGCCTCTGAGGACAAGCCTCTGAGGAACCTCCCCTCCACTCAATTCAGCCTAGCATCATCTCCCTCCCAACCCAACCAGTCTTATATGCCGCTTGTGCTCTTCTCGTTCGATCGTTGGTGATGGTTCAAATCAAACGCCGTGCCCTCCGCATCGCGTTGCATCTCCAGCAACCCGATAGACTACCTCCATCATCGTCCTCTTCTTCTTCTCCGTTCCTTCTGACTGCACCGTTTGTGTCCGCTAAGCTGGGGGATACCATCGGCGCGCTGTACGGAATAGAGGGCCTTGCCTCGTTCTCCGCGGTCGACGGTGAGAATCCTACCATCTAATGTCGTATGACCGAACGATTGCTTCCTTCAACTCGGATGTCATAGCCAACTCCCGCTGCTTCTATGTCCGCGTTCCTCCCTTTCGTCCCATGCTCTTGTGCAGTGGTGTTCATCGAGCGTAACAGTGTTACCACTCGCTTCATCGTGCGCTGTCCCCGCTCGTTCCTCCCTTCTATGCGCACGGCCATCGCTGCCATTCGTTCCATCCAGGATTGCCCCGTCGCTGCAGCCATCGAGCACGTGTCAGGTGCATGTTCGTCCATTCAGTCAATTGGCACGCTTCGCCTCGCCATCCCATTGTTTCCCCGATGCTATCTCTGCCGTTTCCCGTGGGAGCCTGTCTGTCTTCCGTGGCAAGCCATGCCATGCCATGCCATGCCATACCATCCCATGCCATCTCATTCAGCACTGGACTGGACGTCCCAGCACCTTACCCCGCTCTCACGTTTCACACATCCATGGACGTTCATCCATGACTGCCCCCATGCCTGCGTTGTCTCTTGCCCTATTGCACATCATTTCTTTCGTTCAATGCAGGGGGCTGGGAAGGAAAACGAGAGTTGAGCAAGACCGCTTGAGACCATCAATAAGGTGTTCGTCTGTTCGAGCGGTATTATTCGCATCCAGGTTACATTGCTGAGATATTATTTAATTGGAAATGCACACACACCATCCTAAAACGGTAACCATATTCTGTTGCAAACATAGATGTTAGAATCACCATAAAAATCATAATACCTGTACCGGATTTTCCGTTAACGAGTAACATGTCACCATTGCTCCCGGTTAGGGGGTGGCGACATTGGGCTCGAGCGGGGCTAAATCCCGAGCCTGCGGCTCAATGTCACACTGAAATGCCGAAATTGCTCACAAGTTCGGAGCGGTCTTCGCAAAGAAAATGGCGAAAGTTAACAGTGAGTGACGAGGCACGCGCGAAAAATAACACCCACGTGTCGCCAAACGCTGTGTCGCCCTGCCACAGCTGAACCTTGGTTCCCGTTCTTCGTTGTGCGAAATAGACCTGACAATCTGCCAGCTCGAGCCGAATGTTGCCCTCCCTAAGCGAGCCATCGAAATTGGGGGTGCCAGTCACCACAGCTCGCACCATTTCTCTTCTCGCCACGTGTAAATTTCCCTTGTGTGTTGTGCATGGCGGGTGGAGCGCAAGCGGGGGGAGCGGAGCGGTGCGGACGGGAGAGGGAGGGAGAAGACGGAAAGAGATCGGAATTGGGATCCCATTTAGGAGAGCCTTCTCTCGTGGCACTGCGTCCTGCCATGGCAACCTCGTGCGTCGCCACGTCATGCTGTGAAGCTGCTGCCTCGCGCATGTCGCTCCCGCCCGCCCCACACGCAGCAGACACGTCGACGCTCAGCCAGGCTCGAACGTCCCCGTCCATCCCCGTTCTTCGTGCGGTCTCTCACTCCTCACCAAGGATCTAGCGCCTGTCAGCAGTCAATAAGTCTCTGGCACAGTCTACAGGTTATCTTAACGGCCTCCTCGCTCGAAGCTCGTCTCCTGCGGTTCTTTCTCTGCATTGTAGTGGTCCTCCCTGCCGTTTGCGGCGTCGTCCCGTCCGTGAGATCTGCAGCCAGATTCTAACACGCGTCTGCAGGCCCATTGGGTGAGGGATAAGGAGACTCTCACAACAACTGAGAGCGGAAGGAGGGAGGGCGTGGTAGTGCATGAGACCTGAGGTTGCACCCATGGCGAACAGCGGTGCTGCTGCTGCTACTGCCACTGCTCCTCGTCACTCCGTGACCGTAGCTCCCGGCACTCCCGTGACGTGGAGGCGACAAGTCGCCACGGACGACCTGTCCAGCTATGTCGACAAGCCACGTAAGCAGCTCGGGAAGGTCTGGATCATTCCATGTCATGCTTTCAGCAACCGGTTGTTTTTGCTGGGGATTTCACCCCTCAATTTTCCACTCTTCACGAAGCTCCGTCATTCTTGCTGCATTTTTTTCGCGAGTTTTACACCCCCTTCCCCCCTGACCCGGCACGTGCAGATGTGCCTCGTGCTGAGCTGGCGGTGGACAGGGAGCATCCGAACGGGTCCAAGGGCCACGTGACGGGCGGCATGACAGTGCTGCAGCAGCACTTCGCCTTCTTCGACCGCAACAACGACGGCATCATCTACCCCTGGGAGACGTATGAAGGTGGGAGGAAAGTCGTTCAGAAGCCTTGGATCTGCGTGTTGGTGCCCGTTGAATGCATATGGCATTGCTAAATGGCGGCATATGTTTCTTTCTCCCTCAGCTTCGTCGTTTGAAGATCTCCTGCTTAGAATCGAATTCCTGTCAAATCAGTGGTTTTTTCCTTCTCCCTTTCTGCTTTCCATTGGCAGGTTTCCGTGCTGTGGGCTTCAACATGCTGCTGTCTTTCCTGGGCATGATCATCATCAACGGCAGCTTCAGCTATTTCACTCTGGATGTGCGTGCATGACTTGCCATAGATTCCTGCACTTACTCTGGATGTGCTTGCATTGCATGATCTGCTGTATATTCCTGCTGCGCACTTGCGTGCCACTATTGCTGTGCGGTGAGCACCTACTGATTTGCTGCTTCCTCCGCTCTCGCAGGGGTGGATTCCGTCTCCCTTCTTCCCCATCTATGTTCGCAATGCCCACAAGGGCAAGCACGGCAGTGACTCTGAGGTGTATGACACCGAAGGAAGGTGAGACCTCGCACTACCATTCGGTGTCATCATGACTTGGTGCACGGGGATACATCAGGAAACCCGGTTTGAATTTGCAAACGTTGGCTGTATGGCTGCCTGGGTTATGGCTCTTTGGTTGGTTTGGTTGTGTTGCAGGTTTGTGCCTCAGAAGTTTGAGGAGCTCTTTTCCAAGTATGACCGCGACAGGAAAGGAGGGGTTACCTTCATGGAGCTGCTCGAAATGACTGAAGCCAATCGCAACGTCATGGACTTTTTCGGCTGGTAAGTTTGCGTCGCATTGCTTAATTCTTCTCCTCAATGCTTCGCGCCTTCAGTCTGTTCCTGTTAAAGTCTTTACCTCATTGGTCTTGCGCTAGTGACATGTTCCATTTATTGGTCTTCTCCACTTATTTCCCAGGGTGGCATCGAAATTGGAGTGGGGTGCCACCTGGCTGCTGTGCCGGGATGACAGGGGGGTGGTGACAAAGGAGCAGATCCGAGGGATATTCGACGGGAGCTTCTTTGAGCGCATGGAGAAGCAGCGGAGGGTGGGGATGAAGGAGTATAGGCAGTACTGAATCGTGGAGGGAAGGGAAGAATATGGTGTGGGGTGTATGGGTGTACTGTAACACGTACATATGAATATATCCTTGGTATGTGCAGCCATTTAGTTTGTTGAGACTGAATTAATGTAAAAACACTTGACAAACTTGTCCTGTAAAAACACTGAAGAAGGTGTAGGCAGGTGCATGGCTTAAGTCTGGTGAATTATACCATATCAAGTTCAGTAAACATCTCTGTCTTAAAAGATTAGCATAGACTGGTAGCACTGAGAGCTAGATAAGGAAGAAACACGCTTCAAAAAACGAATTTGCACCTATAACTACACTTTCCCCTGCCGTATTCTCCTGAAACCCCCCTTTCTCGACCCTTTCCCTCCTGCTCCATCACCCTCCCCTGTCCCAGCTTCACCTCCCCTCCCTTTCAGATCCGCACCTCCCGTCCCTGCTGCGCCAGGCACTCGAGCATACCTCCCGCCACCCATACCAGCCCTCTGCATCCCTGGGATGGATGCAAATCTGGGGGCCTGGGAGAAGTGTGGCTTGTCCAGAGCACCCCGCAGCCCTGTCAGGGCTGCTTGTGCCTGCCGATGCAGATTGCTGTTGTCCTGCAGAGGAGCAGGCACAGGGGGCGCTTCTGCTTGCTGTTGCCTTCGAGCCAGGTGGATCTGGCCCTCGGCTGAGAGTGCAGGAGGGAGAGATGGTCGGGAGTAGCCTGAGGGAGGAGCCATGGTTGAGGGGCTACCCATGCTTGATGGAGCTGCTGCTGCTGTGTTGTGTGGGTTGGAGGGCCACTGGGCGGTTGAGGGAGGGAGCTGCAGCTGGGGCAACGTCTGCTCTGGCTGCATGCATGCCTCACTCATGGAAAACTGCTCTGTAGCTTCCTCTTCCCTGCCCCCATCGCCAGCAACCTGAGCCCTGCTGCCTCTGCTGCTGGAAATATGAGCACCAGCATTCCTGGTAAGTCCAAGAGGACCCCTGGGTGCGCCCTTACCCGCCCCACTAGAGAGCCTCTCCAGCTCTACGGGCCATGCTGCTGATCCGTCTTCATCAATCTCGTCTTCGTCCTCTGCGGGTACATGCAGGGCTAGGCGCGGGGCAGCAGCAGCAGCCATCGCAGTGGCAGTTGTGTGCATAGGTGCAGTCCCTGTAACTCCAACAGCAGGAGTGCAGTCACCAGAAACGACAGGAGGAGGGGTGCTCTGAGACCCTCCTTTCTCTGAGAGAGATTGTGCTGGAGCGCGCACAGCAGCAGCAGCAGCAGCAGCAGCAGCAGCAGCAGGGTTATTAACCTCTCCTGTATCAGAAGTGTTTTCCAGGTGGCCCACAGCTCCATCCCCTGCTCTCCCTGCAGCAATCCCTGCGGCAGGAGGAGAGGCAGTAATGATGAAGCGAGAGGGGGAGGGCCGGGAGGGGGACGGGGCGCGGGGCGGAGCGGAGAGGTAGGGGAAGAGCTTTCGGTGGGAGGGAGAGGATGAGACAGCGCCAGAAGAAGGGGACTGGAAGGAGGTTTGTGTGGTGCGACGTGGGGGAGGGGTGGGAACGAAGGGCGACCGCAATGGCGGTGCTGCGGCAGTTGCTGTTTGCAGATTGTATGCCTGCTGTCCTGAGGCCAACCCCTTCCGCATCTGCTGTTGCTGCTGCTGCTGGTGCTGCATCTGCTGTGGCTGGTTCTGCTGCCCTTGGTTGATCTGATGAAGCTGTGCCATCCTCTGCTCTCTCCGTGCTCGAAAATGCCAGTCTTCAGCAGCAGAGGGGTTCAAATCCGCCCCAAGCCTCACTCCAAACTTCCCCGAGTCACCATCGAGACCCACAAATGCAGAAACAGGAAGCGCCACCCTCCCACCACCAGCACCACCACCAGCACCAACACCAGCACCAGCACCACCAGCCGCACCAGCAGCACCTGCAGGAACAAACGATGAAGAACCAGACCTCCTCCTTTCCCTTCTCCCGGTGGCAGCAGCAAGCAGCGCAGGGGACCCCCCAGGGCTGCTAGATACGGTGGTGGCAGCAATGGTTGATGGCGAGGAGGACGAGGGGGAGCGGGAGGAGGAGCGAGAGGCATAGGAGACAGAGTGCAGGTTGGAGCCCTGGCGACCGGGGGGTATGGGCCTGCGCATTGGGGCATGGGAGCAAGCGAGCAGGTGGGATGGGTGCATGCATGGGGCGAAGATACATGAGCAAATGGCAGTGGTCGGATGCGGATGTGAGAAAGGATTGGAAAGCAAGGAGTGTAACTGCAGTACTGAAAGGAACCTCAGTAGCCCATCCCATACCCACACCCATGCCCATATGCGTACTGCCACCCATTCACATTCCCATTCCCATGCCCAAGCCCATTCCCATGCGGAATCTCATGGCATCCCCTCACTGGAAGTACAAGCTCTCTTTGAGCAGCCACTGCAGGCGCTGGTGGCAGCCCCGCTCCACCTCCACTGGGTTGAACGCCTCCTCCTCAAGCTGCCCAGGGGGTGGTGAACGGTGTGGTGTGGATAGTGGTGCGGTGGGCAGGGATGTAGTGAAGCAGCTGGATTAGTTTGGAACAATTGTGGAAAAATATTAATGAACTGTCAGCGAGTCATAAATTGGCAGTTGTTGTTATGTACCCTGTGGCCCCACTCTGCCCACCATGACTACGCCCTTCCCTTAAACCCTCCCCCCATATCCCGCCAACCATCCTGCTTGCTAGTTACAACAGGAAGCAGATCTAGCGCGTCCATAAGAAGCGCCCACGAGGGCACTAACCTGAGACAAGGCCATGTCGACAGCAGCAGCCACTTGCTCCCCTTTCTCCTCGTCCTCCTCTCCGAGGTTGCTGATTGGCCGTGGTGGCAGGGGCAGCAGCTCCTCTGCTGAAGTCACTCTCTGGGAGACGACGCAAACATTGAAGTGCCAGAGGGTTTGAGCAATCACTTCTCTCCACCAAAGCGTATGCTTGCTTGCAGTGGGGATGGGTGTGTGCTAGAGCGGACAGGCAGTGAGGGCGAAGGAAGGGTGCAATACGAGCAGTTGAGAGAAAAAAGTTAAGTGATTGAGGGAAGGAAGCAGTGTTGAGTTACCCGCAGGAGGAAGGTTCCAGCTTCAGTGGGCAGCAGCAGGTAGAAGCAGGGGAAGGAGACGTCCATGCGAGTGTCAGCATCCACCAGGCCGGAGCAGAGCAGCCCCTTGTCATGCTGGTTCAGTGAGCGGCAAAGAGCAGCAAAGGCTGCAACGCCAATGGAAAGAAGGGGTTCACGGGCGAATACATTCAAAAGGAGCCCAAAACAATAGAAAAGTTAAAGAAGGAAGCGGAAGAGAGAAAGCTGGGGATATAACGCTGTGTGGTGGTGGTTACCGTGCTCGTTCCTCTCCATCTCTGAGAGCTCCGAGCTGTTGGAGAAGTCCAGCTCCAGATTCTGAGATGGCATGAGCACGTGCGGGAGCCCAAAAATTAGTCCTGCACACACACACACACACACACACACAAGAACACACTCTCCCCCCTCTCCCCTCCATCCCCCCCCCCTCCACACACACCCATGAAGGAATCAGCAAATCAGGAACTGCCACCCTCACGTGCCCTGACCATGTCTCCACGAAGGCAGGGCAGGCACAGAACACGTTCATTGCTGCTGTTCGCGTGACTCCGAGCCATACACACAACACAGGCCTATTAGACAGACTTAGCTCTTGCCTTTACTACCTTCGCTGACTGACGAGAGTGGCACTCGTTTGATCACAGTCAGCGGCACGGCAGGTGTGCCCCCTCCATGCAACCGGGGAGCCTCCATGGCCGTCTTAAACGACGGCAAGTGCAGCAACGTTCCTCTCCCACCACCACTCGCATCACCCACATCATCCCTCCCTAACCTCTCTCCTCGAGCCCTCCCTCTAGACCGCCTTCTCCACACCTCCTCCTCTCCTCCGCCACTCTCCCTCAAGACTCCGCAAGCGTCAGCCCCGAGATCCCCATCCCATGCACCGCCACTCCGCCTCCCTCCATTCCCTGACGCTCCCAGCATGACAGTGTTACTCGCCACGTCACTCGCGTCCAGCCTCTGCCCGGTGACAGGGCAGCGCCGGCTGGGGGCCTTGGTGAGGGGGAGGGTGGGGCTAGCAGAGCGAGCCAAGGGAGGGCTGGAGGTGCCGGGTAGAGTGGAGGGGAATGTCAGAGGCACGCCATGGCAGCGGCAGGTCTGGCGGGTGGGGTGAGGTGAGGGGGGAGACAGGATATCAGGCAGCACGGAGGGGGGATTGAGAGGTGCATACAATATCAGGAACGCTGGAGATATTGGAAGAGGTGAGTCGCTCCCAAGAAGCACAGCACGAGGCAGGGAAATCTGTGGTACGCTAGAAATCTGGCATGGTGACCAAACAAGCTATGGTCAGGGGAGTGTAGCCAAGTAGCGCTGCTCCAGTGCAGAAAGCGCCGTGCTGCGTCTCACCAGGCACGGCTCAATGGCGTCATCCAGTTGCAGCACCATGGGATCTGTGTGATAGTAATCGTGTTTTAAGAGTAATCGTGTCTGAAAACACGACCATTATCACACGGAGTAGCGCTGCTCTAGTGCAGCAAGCGCTGCGTCTCACCAGGCACGGCTGAATGGTGTCATGCAGTTGCAGCACCGTGGGATATGCAGAGCAGGTTATGCTCAGAGGAGGTGTCGGCTTCGCTGCCCCTGCGGTGCCGTCTCCCTGGGCCCTCTTGCTCGTCGCCCTGGAGGCCCCAAACTGGAGGGCGAAGTCGATGGTGGTGTCTGCGCCACACGAGTGCAGATGCTGCAGCCATCGCTTGGTGTGCGAATCCAGCTGTACGGGATCTGGAGGGGGGAGACATCCACGTGTTTGAAATGAAACAGAGGAGGGATCAATCGACAGTATCCGCCGAGTGGCAGATGAAGCAGGAGTGCTTCTGAAGAGAACGCGAGACATGCACCTGGTGAGATTGGGACACGCTGAAGATTGCAAAGGGAGACTCGCAAGGAAGAAAGCTTACAGATCGAACGGTGGAGCACGAGCTTACAGACCGAACGGTGGAGCAACCTACCGCATGGCATGCAGCGCAGGGAGCAGTTCTCATAGCCAGACACAGCGTCATCCAGCTCCTCCAGCCTTGATGGATGGTGGTTCATTGGAGGAGAACAAACGTCACCCGTATATCCTGCATTCAATAGTCTGTTAACTTCTGATCCTTCCGCCATGTTACCATCTTGGCACAACAACGACCTCTCTGTGTCAAGGGTGGGATTTCCCATAGTACCGGATCTCATGCTGTGGCAGGTTGCCTTGTTGCCGGTTGCAGGCTGGACTACAAGAAAGTCAATGGACACACAGCGAGTGGCAGCTTCCTGCAGGGCCAACTTAGAGTGAACTTCCAAGAGTCAAACAGATAACAGGAGAGGAGAGCTCTCACAGTACAGAAATGTGCCAAAACATGAAGTGTCACACGCACACACTCTCACACACCATCACGGCGGAGTGGAAGCTTTCATCAGCGGGGTCCTGCAGGATGGATCCGCAGACGAAGATGACCTTGCAGCTGGCACCAGACAGCAGCTTGGGGGACGAGGCACCACCACCGGCCATCTGCAGTAATGAATCCCCGTTCTCGGGATCTTCCACAATGCTCCCACCACCATTTGACTGGGCACGCATTCGCAGTAATGATGCAAGAAAAGCCACTGCAAACAATCGGATGGGGAATTGTCAGTTGCTTCTGAAAAAAAAAAAAAAAAAACTACTTCAAAATCATGACCACGGACAAGCTGCTTCACGGTCAGTGCTTACTCTGACTGCCGAATCCACCACCAGCGAGCTGTCCATCACTATCAGGCTCTCGTCCAGCTTCCATCGAGAACGCGTTCAACCGGACTACATCAGGGCCGCCAGAGTTAGAGTTAGGCGGCGAGACGGTGAGGCTCCGCTGTAGCCTCTGCGCCAGAGAGGTAGCGGACTGAGCGAGGTTCACGGCTGACAGCGCATGGTTGAACTCCCGCAAGGCGAACGCCTGAAAGGGTCTCTCGGCTGCTGGGTACACCTGGACAAGCTGAGCGAAGGGGGGAGAAGGGTTTTGAGAGTTTAGACGAGGAGAGATGCCTAGAGACAAAGCCGTTGAGTCTACTAGTGGTTAAAAGCGATAACAGTAGGTGAATTTGAGATCGGTGAGGTATTCCCCGGACGTCTACCTCAAATTGGCTTGTCTCAGGAACCCATCGGTTGTGGTGGACTGATATGCTCGGAGTGACGGCGTTTGCAGCGAAGTTCCAGGGATGAGGCTGGCCGATAGCGACCAAATGTCCGAATCGCTGAAGAGCCTGAAATGCGGAGTGGAGGAATGCAAGGTTATACGCAACTCAATTTCCTGAGTTCTATCCGTAAAGTTCCCTCTGGTCGCTCCTAAGCCGTGAGAACTTCTCGCAATCAAGGGCAACCTTAGAATGGACTCCGGAGATATCAATCGACGACTACAGGAAAGTGCTTACTTCTTTGACGGTCGCCAGCGACCTGCCGTCGATGGTTGAATCTACCACGAAATGAAGCGACGCGGCCATAGGAGCGAGCTCGAGTCAGCTACGGGTTGAATGCGAACGAAATAGCTATGCGATGTTGCGTTCCTACAGTCTAACTGATCAATGTCTAGAACCAACCGTCAACGTCTGCACTACAGATGCATCCAGCAACGATCCAAAAGGCGGCTCATTGAGACAACAGGGAGTCGTTTAGCTTGTGACTGGGGGTACCAATTGCTGAGCATTGTTCCGACAGACTTGTCCCGCCAAGCCGTATCAGGCAACAGCCAGAGGGATTTTCCGGTGCACACACCGGACAGGACCAGCATTGTGCTCTGGCCAGTGTCACTCGCGTGTGATGCTGGCCTCGTCCGCCAAGTCCAGGGATGCCGATTCCCTCCCGAGGTTCCTGAATTGCCCTGGAGGGAAGTTCCCACCCCTGGCCTGCCCACCTGCTGAGCTGAGGAAATCCCGAGGGATGTCAACGGCTCGCCTCGCCTCTCATAATTTGCCACCCTCTCACAAACTCCAAGGTGGCCGTTCCGCGGCTCCAGCCCAACAACGTACAAGTCCCTTCGGTTATGATAAAAAAGTTATGTACACAAAACCACTCTAGCCACTACACACTTCCACAACCAAGCATTCAAAATTTGCCGATATCACCCTTTCTACACAATCTCCCAATCGATATTGGGGCCGAGATTCCCTTTCCTATGGGTTGCATTTTAGTAGGTTCATTGCAATAGGACTATTGCTGACCTAACCAGAGTGTTTATTCCTTCCTTCATAAGGCATTGATACCTTTTTAAGATATGATTCATAATAGTTCATTGTGACCGCCAAATACCGTGGTGTCGTGACATTGATGTTAAGTGCGTATGGACAAGTTATGGACGTCTGCTTATGCAAACATCAGAATGACTTGTACACAGAATCGAGTGACAGGGGTGAAATATTTTTGGTGCCACCTCTGTTGCATCACACAACAGCTGGACAGCGTCGATCCTCGAATTCCTTTCAACATCCATTTAAACCGTCGATCGAAGCTGCTCCGCAAGTCTTACGACATCGTGACGTGTACATGCGCTGCGTGACATTGGTGCATCATCACAGATCATACACGTGTCGATGCCACGCGTCAACCCGATCATCAATAGCTATCACCACCAGTCCTGTCCCTCAATTCCCTCGACCCCCCCCACCCTTCCTGAAAAACTTGGGACTCGGCTTTGATTCTGGCCATGGACCGCTCATTTCGCAGATCTAGCTTCCCCGAGGAACTTCCACCATGGCTCCTCAGCATCCACCATCCCAGCCAGCCCCATTTATGGAACAGCCTTACCATTTTCATGTTCATTTTGCGCTTTCAACACCACGAAAGGTCATTCCCTGCCTTACCGCGCAGTCTTCGTCCACGCTGCACGGGCCGCAGGGAGACGCATCTTCTGATCGCCAGCTTCCCTGATCGGTCTGATCCATCCGAGTCATGGCAGCCGTCACGTCGCGCGTGTCCGCGGCCCTCACAGGCGCCGTCAGCAACGCCACGGCCGGCATCCGGCCGCTCTCCACCCGGCAGCTCGCATTCAGAGCCGCTCCTTCCGTCGCCAGGTGATTGAATGACTAATGTACTCGCCGATTCGTCCGTCGACGCCGTCGTTGGTCTCCGCTGTTGTCCCCTCGTCCGGATCTTGAAGTTTTTGTTCGAGTCCTCGTCGTCGTCGCCAGCCTGCTGCTTGTTGAATTGCCTTGCCTTGCTCTGCCTGACGCGTGCGTGTTGCGCGAATCTCGAACTTTCGAAAGAGCTTTGAGAGAGGCTTGGCCGATCTGTCCATGGCAAAGTGTCCGGCGATGTGAATCCTAACGCCTGAATGGCGCCAACCGTCTTCGCGTTTCTTTTTAGGCGCCTCAGAAGTCTTCTCAGGCGCCTCAAGAGTCTTGGCGGATGTGTCCATGGCAAAGTGTCCGGTGATGTGAAACCAAACACCTGAATGACGCCAACCGTCTTCGCGCACGTGCCCCGCAGAACGGCCTTACCCTCCCTTCCTCCTCTCTCCTCTCCCTCTCTCTCCTCCTCCTATTCCCTCCTCTTCCCTCCTCCTCTTCCCTCCTCCTATTCCCTCCTCTCCTCCTCTTTCCTCCTATCTCCTCCTCTCCTCCTCCTATCTCCTCCTCTCCTCCTCCTCTCCTCCCCTACCCTCCACTCTCCTCCTCCCTTCCTCAAGGGCGTGTCCGTTCTGTGTGGTAACGGCGAGTCGACACTGTAAGCGCGTCGCAAGTGGGTATTATGCTATGAGAGCTGAGGACACTCTCCCATTCCGCCTGAGTTCTCTCCCACGTAGCTGGTCAATCACCTCATGAAACCATACCCCTCCGCAATAATTTAAATACAGCATCCACATCGTTGCATGCGCTCAATCCGTGCTTGCCGTTACATCTGCTCGTATCCGTCCATGTCGTGTCGCTCCTTTTTGACACAGTTCCCATTCTGACAACCGAGTCGACTCACTAGCCCAGCAGCTCCTGCTCTCGCGTCACCACATGCCCCCCCCTCTTTCCCGTCCCTGCCCTCTATTGCCTTTCTGCCCTCTATTCCCCTTTCTGCCCTATATTCATTCCTCTTCCTGCCCTCCCTACCCTCCCTACCCTCTTCCTCATCTACCGCCAGCCCGTCACAGCGCCTCTCGTCGGTCGTCCGTCGCTCCGACCAGCAGCAGCAGCAGCGCCAGCGCCAGCTGCAGTGCCGCGCGAGCAGCACGGAGACGGAGGCCCAGGCGGCGGTGTCGGACGACCTGTTCGGCGACTACAAGGCGACGGTCGCCGCGCTCTTCCCCGGCCAGGGCGCGCAGAGCGTCGGCATGGGCGCGGAAGCCGCCGCCGTGCCGGCCGCCGCCGCGCTGTTCTCCAAGGCCAGCGAGATCCTCGGGTGAGTGCTGCGGGCGTGGCGTGTGGTGACGATCGTGTTCTGTCGCGTGTGCGGGGAGGGGGATTGGGGTGGATGGTGGGGGGGAGGGGGTGAGGTTAGGGGTGGGGTGGGGTGGGATGGGGGTTCGAAGATTGCGGCGGGCGGATGCAGTGGGGGAATGGACTTTTTCTGTCAAAGGCTAAGGTTGGACTGACGCCCGGTGTTCGCTTTGCGCTCTGCGGGTGGTACAACGCATATGAATGGTACAACTGCTGCTCTCTGTGTGTGCTAGGACGCCCTCGACCAGGATCGGCCGACGTTCTCTCTTCATTTCTCTTTGTTTCTCTCTTTTCTTTCGTCTTCCCCGCGGCGCGCTCGCCTTCCGGCGCTCATCTTCGCTCCCCCGTCTCCTCCCTTCTTTCCCTTCCTCTTCCCGACCAGCTACGATCTTCTTGACGTGTGCGTTAACGGCCCCAAGGAGCGGCTGGACCTGACGGCCGTCAGCCAGCCGGCGATCTACGTGGCGTCGCTGGCGGCGGTGGAGGCGCTGCGCGCGCAGGAGGGCGGCGCGGCGAAGCTGGCGAGCATCGACGTGGCGGCGGGGCTGAGCCTGGGCGAGTACACGGCGCTCGCGTTCGCGGACGCGTTCAGCTTCGAGGACGGGCTCCGCCTCGTGCAGCTGCGCGGAGAGGCCATGCAGGTGCGCGCGCGGGGGAAGAGGGAGGGAGGGAGAGAGGCAGGGAGGGAGGGAGGGAGGGTGTGAGGGTGGGAGGGTGTGAGGGTGGGAGGGTGTGAGGGTGTGAGGGTGGGAGGGTGTGAGGGTGGGAGGGTGTGAGGGTGGGAGGGTGTGAGGGTGGGAGGGTGTGAGGGTGGGAGGGTGTGAGGGCGGGACGGTGGGAGGTTGTTGGTGAGGGGGCCAGAGAGGCTGTCTCTGGGGTATAAGGGACATGCGACATAATGTGCGCGGGGTTCTGTCGGGTTTCCGCCAACGTGCGTGCTCGTCACGCGCGCCCCCCACGATTCCTTTCTCCGCCCCCTCGCCCTCAATCTTTCCGTCCCTGCCTCTTCTTACTCCCACCCCTCCCGTCTCCTCCCGTCCCTCTCTCCCCTCTCTCCCCCGCTCCACCAGGCGGCAGCGGACGCGGCCCCCAGCGCGATGGTGAGCGTGATCGGGCTTGGCGCGGAAAAGGTGCAGGAGCTGTGCGATGCTGCCAACGAGGACGTGGAGGAGAGCCAGCGCGTGCAGATCGCCAACTTCCTCTGCAACGTGCGTCTGGGGGGGAGGGAATGGGGGATGGGAGTTCGGAAGGCAGGTGGGGTGAGGGAAGGGGAGGGCTTGTAATTGGGTGAGGGTGGATAATGGGGCAAGTAGAGCAGAAAAACAGGATTGGGTGATATACTTGTTCACGGAAAGTAGTATCTACAACCCACCACTTCCCTCCCTTCGTTTGCCCCCATTCCACTCAACCTGTAGCGCTCACTCTCTCCTTTCCTCTTTTTTTGCCTTGCTGTGATGTTTGCAGGGTAACTACGCTGTGTCTGGAGGCGTGGAGGGGTGCAAGGCCGTGGAGGCCAAGGCCAAGTCCTTCAAGGCGCGCATGACAGTAAGCCCCTTTCCCCTCCATTCATCGCCACATTATCCTCCCCTCTGATCTAAGCTCTTTACAATGCTTGCTCCCTGCATCCCATGCCGAGCCCCGTCTCCCTTCCCATTCTATCTCACTTCCCATATCGGCTCCCTTCTCCCCTCCCTCCCCACTCCCTCCCATCCCCTCCTCCCTTCTCACCACCCCCCAGGTGCGACTAGCAGTAGCCGGGGCCTTCCACACGCGCTTCATGGCCCCAGCCGTTCCTCGCCTCGAGGAAGCTCTAGCGGCCACCACCTTCCGTTCCCCCCGCATCCCCATCGTCTCCAACGTGGACATGCGCCCGCACTCGGACCCCGCTGTCATCAAGCGTATCCTCGCCCAGCAGATCACATCGCCCGTGCAATGGGAGGGATCGCTGAAGCAACTGCTGGCCCGGGGGCTCACGGAGAGCTATGAGCTGGGGCCTGGGAAGGTCATTGCTGGGAATATGAAGCGGGTTGACAAAGCTGCCCCTGCTGTTGTCAATGTTTCAGTGTAGAGGGGTTTTTGCGTACGAGGCAGCGCTTTGGAGTGAAAGCTACCTAGTTTGTCATAATAATAAGGTATATTATTTGCAACTGTAAGAGAACAAATTTCTACCCGAGAGGTGTTGAAGAGGCCAGAATAGTGACCCCCTTTTCAAGTTGGACCCAACTCAAAATAGTTAGGCTCAAGAGTGTGTTGGTTGGAAACTTGCAAGAGTTATTTGTTGGGGGGGCAATTGCTGTTTGTGCGATAGTTGGCGACAAATTACGAATGAACATTTTGCATGATTTTCGCAGATCACAAGTCATTCCGCTACCCTGTAAAAGACAAGCTGAGTGTCAAACATGTGTATCTCTAATGTTTGCATAGACTGTATAGGGTCACCCCTTAGAGGGTACAACACTTAGGTATATTTGCTTGTACTCTCTCCCTACTCAATCATTCATTCAGTTCTTACGTTGATATGGTATCACGCGTAGGTTAGAATCCCCCCACCTACCGCTTCCGCCCGTACCCTAGCTACGCCCCGTCGCGCCCCTCCTAGCGCCCCTCGTAGCGCCCTTCCTGGGCCCTGTAGCGCCTCCTAGGCCCGTCGCGCCCCTCCTGGGCCTCGTCGCGCCTCCTAGCCCCGTCGCGCCCCTCCTGGGCCCCGTCGCGCCTCCTAGCCCCGTCGCGCCCCTCCTGGGCCCCGTTGCGCCTCCTAGCGCCCCTCCTGGGCCCCGTCGTCCCTCCTAGCCCCGTTGCGCCCCTCCTGGGCCCCGTTGTCCCTCCTAGCCCCGTCGCGCCCCTCCTGGGCCCCGTTGCGCCTCCTAGCGCCCCTCCTGGGCCCCGTCGCGCCTCCTATCGCCCCTCCTGAGCCCCGTCATGCCGCCTAGGCCCCGTCGCCCTCGCTACGGCCTTGTCGCGCCCTGCCGCGCCCCGTCGCGCCCGCTAGGCCCCGTCGCACCCTTGCTGGCCCCGTCGCACCCTTGCTGGCCCCGTCGCGCCCGCCTGGCCCCGTCGCGGCCAGCCTGGCCCCGCCGCGCCTGCCTGGCCCTGCCGCGCCTGCCTGGCCCTGCCGCGCCTGCCTGGCCCCGCCGCGTCTGCTTGGCCCCGCCGCGTCTGCCTGGCCCCGTCGCGCCTGTCTGGGCCCGCCGCGCCTGCCTGGCCCCACCGCACCTGCCTTGCCCTGCCGCACCTGCCTGGCCCCTCCGGGCCTGCCTGGCCCCTCCGGGCCTGCCTGGCCCCGCCGCGCATGCCTGGTCCCGCGCCCATCCTCTCGACCCCAGCGCCCGTCCTAGCCGGCCCCGCGCTCGTCCTACCGGCCCCCGCGCCCGTCCTACCGGCTCCCTGCGCGCGCTCTGTCCGTCGACCTCTGGCCCCGTGCTCACCTTCCCGCCGGACTGCCGCCGATCTGCGTGCGGCCCGCTCTTTGTGCCTGCTACTGCACTGCGCCCTCCCTGGTACGGTTCTCCATCACCTTTCACTACACTGCACCTCACTGCACCGCCCTGCACCGCGTTGCACCGCACTGTACCGCACTGCACCGCACTTCACCGCACTGTACCGCACTGTACCGCACTGCACCGCACTGTACCGGACTATTCGTACTGCACCGCGCTGCACCGCACTGTACCGCACAGTACCGCACTGCACTTCACTGACCCGCGCTGCGCTGCCTCACCTGGTCCTGCCCTGCACTGTTCCTGATGGAAGCGGAGCTTCGCTTCGACGCTGAAGGCCAGCCACTGGAGTTTGAGGCGTGGCTAGCCGACCTCCGCCGCCACCTCACTGGTCAGCGACAGGATGGCCACTCGCTCTCGGCACATCTTGACGGTACGCTTCCCTGCCCAGACCCCCCTGCTGTGCTGCCCGCTGACCGCACACTTGCTGAGCGCGAGTCTACTGCGGCCGCTGCCCTCGCTCGCTCTGTCTGGCTTTCCCGTGACGATGTTGCACAGCTTGCCAATAGCAATGCCCTCCCCCCGTCTGAGCGCCCTCGCTTTAGGTCTATCACTACCGCCCAGGATTTCTTAGATGCTGTTATCCGGCGCTATTCCGCCCCGCCTGCTGCCTCGGTGGGTCGCCTGATCCTACCGATGCTCTTTCCTGACCTTGCGTCTTCCCCCACTGTTGCTGACCTGGCTGCCCACCTGCGCACGATAGATGAGACCTGGCGCGCTGCCTGCACTGACGCACAGCTTAGAGCCCACCAGCCGCCTCTTACCGCTACCCTCTACCTGCTTGCCACCCGCCTCCCTGACCGCCTTGCCGCTGCTCGTGACCGCTTCCTTAGCATTCACCCTGGTGACCTCACCCTCACAGACTTTGTAGACACCCTGACTGTTATAGAGACCCGCCACCGCTCTATCGCCCAGGCGAGCGGTACTGTGCCGGTCCCTATCTTTCAGGGTTGTGCCCCCGCTCAGTGCACCTTCTCCGATGGTTCTGCAGCTGTGGCTGAGACCGCCGCTGCAGCGCAGTTCCGTCCGGGGAAGGGTCGCCGCCCCAAGGCTGGGCGCGGCGGAGGAGGTGGGGGTGCAGGTGGAGGTGGTGGTGGAGTCGGGTCGTCTGGTGGTGGAGCGGACGAGGGGACCCTGCCAGGTCCAGCTAAGCAGCCGCCCCAGCAGCAGCAGTAGTCGCAGCAGCCGCAGCAGCCGCCCCAGCCGCAGCAGCCGCCGCAGACGAGGCAAGCGAGTGCCCTCCCGCCCAGGTGGCCTGGCGCTGGTTGTGGTCGTACGCGTGGTGATGTGCCAGGTGGCGGTGCGGGAGGCGCGCGCTGTCAGTACCAGATCCAAACCGGTCCTCGCCGCGATTTCGTTTGCGGTAAGATCGGTCACGCCACTGCCTGCTGTTTTCGTCGCCTGGACGACTTGTTTCGTCAGCGCTTCGGCCCGTCGCCAGACCTCCCGGACTGGCACAGTTGGCTTAGTCGTAGAGTTCAGATCTTTGACATGGACATGGATGCCATTGTTTCTGCCCTGCATGTGATGTATGCTGATGACTCTAGTGTGCTCCCCTCTTATTACTCCTTGCTGCCTAGTGTAAGTGTGCCTAGCTTAGCCTCCCCTGCTGCGTCCGGCGTAGGAGCTCCCGCTTTGTTTAGCCTTGGTGTTTCCACTGTCGCCCCGTCGCCAGACGCCATGCTTCGCTTTCCTTCATCTTGGACTCTAGCGCTTCCCGGTGCTTCTTCCGCGACTCCACTACGCTGACGCCTCTTCCTGTTCGTGCTGCCGTTTCTCTTGCTGACCCCTCCAACGGTCCAGTAGTCGCCCGCAGTTCCACCACCCTTCCCTTTCCGGCGGTTCCTTCGGGCTCTTTAACAGGTCTGCATATCCCCTCGTTCTCCAGGAACCTAGTTGGTGTCGGCTGCCTCCAGGACCTTGGCGTCACCACTACGTTCCCCGGTCACGAGCGGTATGCTGTCTGTACCGAGGCCGCCACTGGTGCCCCCCTGTCCACGTTCCCCCTAGACCTAGTGTCCGGCCTGTTCACCTTGGACACCGTGACCCCCCCGGCTGGCGTGCCCCTTCAGGTTGCTGCGTCTACCTAGGTTGCTGCTGCCTGCTCCTGTCGGTCCCTCACTCACCCGACTCTCCTTTGGCACCACCGCCTAGGTCACCCTACACTCCCGCGTCTGCGTCACATGTCCCAGCACGGTCTTGTCCTTGGTCTCTCTTGTTCGTTCCTCGCTTTTCCCTCCTCCCCCGCCCCACCTTGCACGCCTTGTGTCGAGGGTCGGCTTCGCCGTGCCCCTCACTCCTCCTCGTTTCCCCCTACCGCCGCGCCGCTGCAGACCCTGCACATGGACGTCTGGACCGCGCCCCCGTCCATGGGCCGCGTCGAGAGCGCTACTTCCTCGTGCTTGTCGACGACTTTACTCGCTACACCACAGTCTTTCCCCTGGAGTGAAAGGCCGACGTGCCTGACGCTCTCATCCCCTGGCTTGTCTCTGCTCGTGTCCACCGAGGTCTCCCTGTCTTGCGTCTTCACTCCGACCGTGGTGGCGAGTTTGCCTCAGGTGTCCTTGGTCGCTTCTGTCGTGCAGAGGGCATCACCCAGACGTTCACCCTGCCGGACTCCCCACAGCAAAATGGGGTCGCTGAGCGACGCATCGGTTTGGTCATGGAGGTGGCTCGCACCTCCATGATCCATGCCGGTGCACCCCATTTTCTGTGGCCATTCGTCGTGCGCTACGCTGCTCACCAGCTTAACCTGTGGCCGCACCCTTAGCGGCCGCAGGTTTCGCTGACCCTTCGTTGGACCGGGTCTCCTTTTGACGCGTCTGCGTTCCACGTCTGGGGCTGCCTTGCTCACGTCCGTGCCTCTGGCACGGACAAGCTTACAAGCTCACGTTCCGCACCCTTCCCTGCGTCTTCCTAGGTTTCCCCCTTGACGCGTCCGACTGGCACTTCTACCACCCGCCGTCTCACCGGTTCTTTCACTCTCGCGACGTCACCTTTGACGAGTCTGTCTCCTTCTACCGTTGCTTCCCCCACCGCAGTCCCCCTGTCACCCCCCCCCTGTTCCTGGTCACTCCTTCCCCGGTGGTTTCCCCCCCCCCTCCCTCCCCCTCCCCGTCCTGCCCCCTCCGGTGTGTCCCACATCACCCCTCTCCCGTCGGTTATCCCGGTCGAGGAGTCCTCTAACTCTGGTGGTCCTGCGGCGCAGTCCTCACCGTCTGCCCCTCTCCAGGTGTCTCCTCCTCCGCCGCCTCTGCAGCCGCCGTCGCCTCTACCTCTGCAGCCGCAGTCGCCTCTCCCTCTGCAGCCGTTGTCTCCTCCGTCGCCGCAGCCGGTCGTTGCGTCTGGGGGTGCTGGTGGTGGAGTGGGTACTAGTCCCTGTGGCCCTGCGGGTGGTCCCGGTGCTGGAGGGGCTTCGGGGTCTGAGGGTGTTCCTTCTGGGGCTGCAGGCGTGGAGTGTTTCGACGGTAGCCGAGGAGTAGCTTGCGGTCCGGGTGTCGGTGTTGTGCCGCCGCAGCAGCAGTCACCGCCGGTGTCAGCCCTTTGCCTGCTAGGCCTTCCGTCCCCTGACCCTGCGTCTGTTCCTCTCCTGCCGTCTCCTCCTCTTCCCGTCTACGGCCCTGTGTTCCCTCTGCCGGACTCGTCCCCCGCTCATCTTCCCCCTCGCTCCCCCCTTGTGTCCCCTCCTCTGTCTCCTGACCGGACTCCTCCAGCTCACGTCTGGTCTCGCCGTCCCTCCCGTGCTCGGCCTGTCTCCCCTGTCTCGTGCTCTCACCCTATGTTGCTTCATTCCCACGCGTCTCGTTCTCCCCTTCTCCCGTTGCCCCGTCAGTCCTCCCTTGTCGTTGCTCCCCCCCCTCTGTCTGACTACCTGCATGCCGCCCGTCCTCTTGTTCCTCGGGTCCTTGCCTCCCTCGTTACTGACCCGTCTGTTTCGGTTTCGAGTCTTGACGCTCTTGTCGCTGCGGTCGCTGACTTCGCCTCTACCTGCCGCCTTGACTACGCCACAGCTCTGGTCTCTGATCCTGCCTGTCCTCCGTCTGTCGGGGGTGCTCCTGCCCTCGGCAGTGACGTCCTGGAGGACCGCCAGTTCAAGCTTGCTTTCCTGTCCGAGGCTGCTCCCCATCTCTTTTCCATGTTGCTAGTCCCTGAGGGGGACCCAGACGCTTTCGACATCCCGACCCCTCGCACTTACGCTGAGGCGACCTCGCGACCCTGGGCCTCCCAGTGGATAGCTGCCATGGAGCAGGAGATGGCATCTTGGAGATCCATCGGCACCTTCGTCGATGCAGTTCCCCCGCCTGGGGTGAACGTAGTCGATGGCCGCTGGCTCTACAAGGTGAAGTGCCCTCCTTGAGAGCCGCTTGTATTCAAGACGCGCTACGTGGCTAGAGGTTTCAGTCAGCGTGAGGGGGTGGACTTCTTCCAGACCTTCGCTCCGACCCCGAAGATGACTACTCTTCGGATTCTGCTATACGTAGCAGCTCAGCGTGACTACGAGCTTCACTCCCTCGACTTCTCCACTGCCTTCCTTCATGGCAGCCTACACGAGCAGGTCTACCTGCGTCGCCCTCATAGCTTTACTGACACCTTCCCTCCTGGGACCCAGTGGCTCCTGCGACGTCCCGTCTACGGCCTCCGGCAGGCTCCCCGTGAGTGGCACGACACGCTGCGTGCTACCCTTTCTGACCTGCAGTTCTTTCCGTCCTCTGCAGACCCCTCACTCTTCGTTCCTGCTAACCAGACTCCGTTCTACATCCTTGTTTACGTGGACGACCTGGTCTTTACCACACCAGACAGGGACGCACTGGCCCCCGTGAAGGCAGAGCTGCTGAAGAGACACACTTGCACTGACCTTGGAGAACTGCGCCATTACCTTGGCTTGCAGATCTCCAGGGACAGAGCAGCGCGCACCATCACCTTGACTCAGTCACACTTGGTGCGCCAGGTCCTTCAGAGGTTCAGCCTTCAGTTCTCCTCTGCACAGCCCACCCCTCTGCCTGTAGACCACAGACTCTCCGCTCCAGTTCCTGAGGAGTCAGTAGAGCCCAGTGGTCCCTACGCAGAGCTGGTGGGTTGCCTCATGTACCTGATGACTTGCACTCGTCCAGATCTCGCATACCCTTTCAGCATCCTGACTCGCTTTGTGGCCACAGGCAGGCACCGACCGCAGCACTGGTCTGCCGCTAAGAGGGTTCTGCGTTATCTTGCTAGTACATCGGGCATGGGGTTAGTGCTTGGAGGACGCAGGCCAGTGGTCCTTACTGGACACACAGACGCTTCGTGGGCAGACGACGCTGAGACACTCAGGTCTACCCAGGGCTACTGCTTCAGCCTTGGCTCAGGTGCCGTCTCGTGGAGAGCTACCCGCTCCTCGTCTGTTGCCCAGTCCAGCTGTGAGGCCAAGATCTACGCCGGTGCCATGGCGGCTCGGGAGCTCCGCTGGCTGTCCTTCTTGCTCAGTGACTTAGGTGAGCAGCCTAGCTCTGCCCCGGTCCTGTACGCTGACAACAGGGCCATAATCCTCCTGTGCCAGGAGCCTCGACTCGAGGCCAGAGCGAAGCATATCCAGCTGCGGTACTTCCTCCTGCGCGAGCTACAGCAGCGCCGCCAGGCTCGTGTAGTACACTTGGCCTCCGGTGCCAACACAACTGATATCTTTACGAAGGCGCTTGCGCCTAAAGATCATCAGCGGCACAGTGTACAGCTCGGTCTAGTTCCTGTAGCCTCTCACTTGCTAGGGCCTTGACTTTGTACTGTCCTATATATCTATACGTACTCAGACTGGACTTGTGTCCTCTCCAAGTGGCTGGACTAGTAGTGCCACCCTGGTCTTGTTCTTGCCTTGCCTGTACTCCTTTTGACTGGTCTTTAGACCCTTGTCTCAGTGGCTGGACTAGTAGTGCCACCCTGAGCTGCTTGTTCAGGACCTGCCCCTATGCAGTCTAGGGGGTGTGTCAAACATGTGTATCTCTAATGTTTGCATAGACTGTATAGGGTAACCCTTTAGAGGGTACAACACTTAGGTATATTTGCTTGTACTCTCTCCCTACTCAATCATTCATTCAGTCTTACGTTGATATTGAGGACCTTTATTTTGAGAGCCGTAGGCACGTATTTCCCCGCAACCTGCTTCCATGGAGGTGTTGTATCCGTACTGTACTCAGGAAAGCAATATCACTTGACACAGGGTGATTGAAACATATCCTCGAAGAACGAACAAATGAAATTTAGTAAATGTTATCTACACAAACAATTAATCTGTGATAGGATGGAGGTCAAAATCACCCCCAAAATCCACAACTATGCACCGTGGTAGCGTGCTTTCTTCAGAGCAGTCAAAAGGTCCCCCGGCATGATAGGTTTGGCGAGGACCCCATCCATGCCGGCCTGAGCACACGCCCGCCGCACATTGCCATCCACATCTGCTGTGAGAGCCAGCACACAGCAGCGCCGCAACCACCTGCTGCTGCCACCCGCACGTGCACTCGCAGGGCTCCCAGAACCAACAGTTTCTTCCCGGGGAGATGGCGAGCTGACTGATACTTGCAGTTGCATGCGCTCAGCAGGCTGGGAGGCTTTGTGTGGAGCATTTGCAGTGTGGGAATGTGGCTGCACAGGTTCAAGTGTGGGGCTGGCCCGAGCCCTCCAAGCGCTGCATTCCGCTTCCATGGCTCGGATACGCCGCGCCGTCTCGTACCTGCATGGGGACGGGTGGCAAGGGATTGGCAAGCATGGGGTGGATCGAGTGGCAAGGGTGAGTTTGACATCCAGAAAGGCCTTTTTTCCTAGATAAAGAAAGAAGTAGAAAATACAAAATTTGTGGTCTGGAAAGAGTGAAAGACAGGCGCACCGAAGACTAGAATTGGTTCAGGGAGCACCACAAGAATAATCACACACAAGTGTGTGCACGCACCCGTCCATATCTGGCATTTGAAGGTCCAGCAGCACGAGCGACACGGCACGCACTGGCTCTTGCTGCTCGTCCACGTGCTGCTGCTGCTGCAGGCGCCCATCCCCCTCCCCCTCCCCCTGCCCCTTCCGCCTGGCGGCGGCTATCTGCGGGCGCAGCGCATCCAGCGCGTGCGCGCCGCTGTCCGCCATGAGCACACGCGCCCCCAGCCCCAGCAGCGTTCTCTTGGCCACCATGCGGTTCACCACGTTGTCGTCCACCACCAGCACCGCCTGCTGCCCCACCACCCCCCGCAGCGCCGCCACCGCCGCCTCCAGGGACCCCGGCAACGCTGCACACGGCGACACAGACAGCGCTGACAGAGGCAGGGAGGAGGACCGCGCATGGGCAGTGGTGCCGGGTGCAGGCAGAGAGGCAGAGGCTAAGGAGTTTGCTGAGGAGGAGGAGGAGGAGGAGGAGGAGGAGGAGGAGGAGGAGGAGGAGGAGGAGGAGGAGGAGGAGGAGGAGGAGGAGGAGGAGGAGGAGGAGGAGGAGGAGGAGGATGCAGAAATGGTGCTGGAGGTCGGGTTGCAGGGAGGAATGATGGAGGTCGCTGTGGCAGGTGCAGCAGGTGCAAGGGAGGGAGATGGGGTTGGATCGCTGCCACGTGGGCAGGCAGGTGGTTCTTGCATGGTGCAGGAGAAAGTTGTGACGGTGAACGGCGTGGCTGAGAAAGGCGTGCCGGAGGTGGCTCCGGTGGGAGTGAGAGTGAGAGAGGCTGGAGCAGGGGACGATGGTGAAGCAGTGAAGAGCTGCAGGATAGAGCGGATCACGGGTTGCATGGAAGAAATCCAACATGGTTAGAGAGAGTGTGATTGCGAAGGCCGAGAAAACAGGATGGACGCTGAAGTGAAGACCCGAAATATACCTGGCAGAACCCCCTCCTCTCCCTGATTCCACTCACCTGCTGCAGGCAGTGTGCGGTGTGTGTGACAAGCCAAGGGTGCGGCAACATGGCCTTAAAGCCCATCCTGTGCATCTGCTCTCCATCCATGCCGCCAGCCTTGGCGCCTGTCAGCACCACCACTGCTCGCCCTGCTTCCCGCCGCTCCATGCCCCCACTCCCCTGCCCCTGGGAGCTGGCAACAGCAGCAGCAGCCTGGTGCGCGAGCTGAGAGCCCAGCGCAAGTCCGGTGCGCGGGCCAAAGGCATCCAGGTCCACCAGCACCACGTCCCACCGTCCTCTGTCAGAGGTGCTTTCTTGCATCTGCATGAGCTGCATGGCTTGTGATTGCGTGCGAGCCACTGACACCTCCAAGCCCAGATAGCGCAGGCACCCACTCACAGCCTGGAACACAGACAAGGGGAGACGAGAACAGGTGAAGAATCCGATTGAGCAGTGAGGAGAAGATGCTGCCAAGAGAAAGCAAATGCTAGATAAAGTTAGGGGCGAGAGGAGGGCAGCGGGATATGGTTTGGCGCAGCGACAGACAGAAAAAGAAAACCTTAAGAAGAGATTGATGCAGTGGTTGGATGAGTAGCCTAACTACCAACCAATGCATGACACGGGCTTTCTTACGTGCACTATGGTTGTAACCCCGAGCTATTTGTTGCCTCTCACCTGTGCTCTCAGCGCCATGGCATCCAGTAACAGCGCTCTCTTGCCCTTCACCAGGGACCAGATCGCCTTGCGGTGAAGCACCCACTCCTGCACCTCCACACTCGCACCCCCACTCGCCGCCACACCACCACTACCACCACTGGTCCTGCTGCCACCTGCAGCAACAGCGTCTGTGCCGGACAGGTGGCAGGCGGCCATGGGAAGGGCGACGAGGATGGAGGTGCCCACGTTGTGCTCCGTTGCTATTCCCATGGCCCCCCTCATTAGCTTCACCTGCCACCCACGCACATGCAGAGGCACAGGCACAGGCACACGCACATGCGGACGCGCAAGCACACAAGCACACACACTACCAGCATATCAGACGTGCACGGTGAAGAACCAAGACGATTCCATCGACCATTATCAGGAAATGGCGTGCATGCCGGACAGTGGCGCATAGCATGCGACGCAACATGGCATGCATGCAGAAGTCTATTTATAAGGCGCACTGACCAGGCCTGTGGAGAGCAGGAAGCGGACTGGGTAGGGCTCCCAGGCAGGCGCAGAGGAGGGGAGGGAGGTAGGTGCATCGGTGTCAGGCCAGCAGTTGGAGGGGCAATGGCGGGGAGACGCAGGGGAGCATAGTGCAGGCAGTGACATCGGCTGCTGTTGCTGCTGCTGTAGTTGCTGTTGTTGCTGATGTTGCTTCTGTTGCTGCTGCTGGGGAAGGGAACGTGAAGGGTAGCACGGGGAGAGGTAGTGGAGAGATTGTTACTGCAATGAGAGGCTATGGTCACGACATGGAACCCTATTGAGTCGACTCAAAAGTCATTTGCCACGTAAGGACCATGGCAACCAGATGGTGTTGACTGAAAGGGACTGAGATGAGAGGGGGACTATGGTCATGCCAGGAGAATGTTCAGAGGAGAGGGAGAGGGAGTTAATGTTGGCAATGTTTGGCTGATCAAGGCAATAGAAGCAGTAGAGTAGAAGAGAATGTGTGATGTCAGAAAATGCATCACACGAACATGACGATGAACACACATGCAGGCACATGCACATGCACACACGCGCGCGCACGCTCACTCGCACATGCACATAAAGAAGCTCGTAGTTTGCAGCGGTTGTGGATGTGTGCTACAGCCAGAGAAGCCAAAGAATGGCATGGCATCGTAACATGTGGCATGGCGCAGCATGGCACAGCATGGCACATCATGGCACAGCATGTCACAGCATGGCATAGCATGGCACATCATGGCACAGCATGGCACATCATGGCACAGCATGGCACATCATGGCACAGCATGGCACATCATGGCACAGCATGGCACATCATGGCACAGCATGGCACATCATGGCACAGCATGGCACATCATGGCACAGCATGGCACATCATGGCACAGCATGGCACAGCATGGCACATCATGGCACATCATGGCACAGCATGGCACAGCATGGCACATCATGGCACAGCATGGCACATCATGGCACAGCATGTCACAGCATGGCATAGCATGGCACATCATGGCACAGCATGGCACATCATGGCACAGCATGGCACATCATGGCACAGCATGGCACATCATGGCACAGCATGGCACATCATGGCACAGCATGGCACAGCATGGCACATCATGGCACAGCATGGCACATCATGGCACAGCATGGCACATCATGGCACAGCATGGCACATCATGGCACAGCATGGCACATCATGGCACATCATGGCACATCATGGCACATCATGGCACAGCATGGCACATCATGGCACAGGATGGCACATCATGGCACAGCATGGCACATCATGGCACAGCATGGCACAGCATGGCACATCATGGCACAGCATGGCACATCATGGCACAGCATGGCACATCATGGCACAGCATGGCACATCATGGCACAGCATGGCACATCATGGCACAGCATAGCACATCATGGCACATCATGGCACAGCATGGCACAGCATGGCACATCATGGCACATCATGGCACATCATGGCACAGCAGCGCACGGCAGGGCATGACATGGTTGTAGGTGCGCTGTCTGGTGAACAGCCCTACCAGCCCTCTCAGTGCAACAGGTCTCTGTGTGCGATACAGCGACACAAGGCACTGTGTGGAGTTGCATCTCACAACTTGCCACAGCATAGCATGGAGGGCATGGAGGGCATGGAGGGCATAGAGGGCATGGAGGTAAAAGGCAACCACCGTGGGCTCTCTGGTGGACAGCCCTCTCTGCAGCACTCACCGCGCCCTCTCGATGGAAGCCCCCTGTGTGCAGCACTCACCGTGCCCTCTCGATGGAAGCCCCCTGTGTGCAGAACTCACCGTGCCATGGGTTGAAACCTCTGTGTGCAGCACTCACCGCAGCCTCTTGATGGGAGCCCCCTGTGTGCAGCACTCACCGTGTGCGCGCCGTGTTGAGAGCCCTCTGTGTGCAGCAGCACGCCTGCCTTGCCCTGCGCTGCTGCCTGCCCTTCCGGATCCAGCACCCACTGCAGCTCCTCCTGTGGAATGCCACACCCCGTGTCCTCACACACCATCACCACCAGCACTCCCCCTTCCTCTCCTCCTCCCCCTTCCACTTCCCTATACCTCTCCCATTCCTCCATCTCGTTACATCCCCCTTCAATCCCTATCCCAGCCATCTCTTCCATCCCACCCCTCAATGCTCCACCCGGCCCTCCGTCTCCTTGACACCCCTCAACGCTCACTGTGGCATGAGCCAAGCCTGCACCACCACCACTGCCAGCGCCACCACACCCTCCAAATGCAGTGGGAGCAGAGTGAGCACCTGTGCCAGTCGTTCTTTGCCAGAGTTCCTTCAGCGTGCGAAGCAGCCAGCCAAGGCGACGCCAGGCGGTCGACTCGTCGTCCCTCTCTATCCTATCTACCAGCACATCATCAGCACATGTGTCCACAGGAGTGCGCATCACGGCGGCATCACTGAACCGACTCAAGCACTCATCCAGCTCATGCAGCACTGCGGCTGCTGACTCACCTTGCCGGTCACTGCCGACACCCCTTCCCCTGGCTCCACTCCTGCACCTATCTAAGTCTACCCTTCCTGCCCTGCCCTCGGCTCTTTCATCGGATACTGCTTCAGTCAGAACGGAATAGCTTGCTGCGTCCACTGGCCCTGGCCCTGGCCCTGGCCCTCCCAGCTGTGCTTCGAGCGTGTGGGAGGAGAGGAGTGAAGAATGAGACGATGGGGAACACAACTCGGGGAGGGAAAGACGAGCAAAGAGCTGCCTCCTATGGTCGCCAAAACTGCTATTGCTGTCGCTGCTGCTACCGCTGCAGTGGCAGTACGCCTCATGTAACCACGATGGTAACCTGGCCCAGCGGCAGGGCTGCTTCGGGGCCATGGGGACGCACCACACTCTGAAGGCCACGTGTCCTGAGACAGTGGTGCGGATGCCATGGCCTGGCAAAGGGCAGGGCGGCGCGCAGGGCAGGGCAGTGCAGGGCAACACAGAGGGATGCGAAGGTCGAAGCAAAGGGGCATGGTCAGGGCAAGGGTAGGGCGGAACGCAGAGCAGGGCGACACAGGGAGGGGCCGAGGTGGAAAAACAGTGACCTGGGAACTCGGGTGGCATGGGTGGCATGAGTGACATTGGTGGCATGGGTGACATGAGTGACATTGGTGGCATGGGTGGCATGAGTGACATTGGTCGCATGGGTGGCATGGGTGACATGGGTAAGTTTACCAATCTGTCCACGCATATCTGGTAAATATACCTCACACAGAGCCTCACGACTGGATACAGCGCCCTCCTACAGAAATCACATTGCCCTCCCCGGCCACTCAGCCACTCACTCAAGAGCTCCCTCACGAGTACTGTGCTACTCCTCTTCACCCTCACGCACTGTATGTGAGCTCTCACTAGCAGAAATGGAAGGTTCTTTCATCTGACGGCATGGTACTCACTGATGAGCTCCCTCACGAGCACCGTGCTACTCATAGCCTCCCTCTCATATGCTACTCATAGGGCTTTACCATCTGACGGAATGGCACTCACTGATGAGCTCCCTCACGAGCACCGTGCTACTCATAGCCTCCCTCTCATATGCTACTCATAGGGCTTTACCATCTGACGGAATGGCACTCACTGATGAGCTCCCTCACGAGCACCGTGCTACTCATAGCCTCCCTCTCATATGCTACTCATAGGGCTTTACCATCTGACGGAATGGCACTCACTGATGAGCTCCCTCACGAGCACCGTGCTACTCATAGCCTCCCTCTCATATGCTACTCATAGGGCTTTACCATCTGACGGAATGGCACTCACTGATGAGCTCCCTCACGACTTGAGCGAGTCTGAGAGGATCGCCCAGCAGCACCTCGGGCACACTGCAGTCCACATGGCACAGCACTGCCACGCACGGCACGGGAGGCAAGTGAGAGGCGAGGGAGAGGCGAGAAACGAGTGACTATTTGGGGAGGGCCCAGTGTGGCGTGGTGAGGGAGGGGAGGGGGGCATGCTGTGGAGAAAGTAGAAGAAATGTTCTGACACAACCTGGGCACATCTGCGCCACCCATATACTACACCACAAGGAGCGGCACGGCGAGGGAAAGGGAATAGGATACGAGGGAGGATGGGGGACTGAACGAGGAGCATTTGCGCAGCATGCCCGGCACTGGCCACACCATGTGGCACACCACACTGCCACTGCGTATACCTGCAGTGCGCTTGGATTGGATTGGATTGTGTGGGGTTAGATTGGATTGGATTGGATTGGCTTGGATTGAAATCTGAGAGCAGGTGGGGGAAGTGAAGGCGTGCAGGTGGGTGGTTACAGTTACAGGAGATGCCATCGCAGCGCTAGTACCACATAATGAGGAGTCTATTCTCGAGGAGCCTAAAAAATGGACTCCTCACGCGTGAATGAGTACAGGAACTGCCACAGCAGCGTTAGTACCTCATGATTTTGCAGGGTGTTTTTGGGAATTCTCAAAAACACCCTGCAAAATTGAGTACAGGAAATGCCATTGCAGCGATTGTACCTCATGATCACACATGGTATGCACAAGCACAACCCTCCCATGCTGTCTCATGAAGCGAATCTGCGATGGGTAGGTGCCGCCTAAGTGGTGTGGTGCTTCCACACACTGACTCTCCTGCTTCATGTCGTGCTTCCCCCTTTTCTCCACCTTTTCTTAACTAACCTTCCTCCCTGCCCTCCTTCTTCCTTTGTCCATTCCGTCTCTGGTAGGTGATGACTGCTGCTGTGGGACCAAGCACCCTTGCCTGTTACAAGCCTCTTCCTGGTTGCTCAGATCCACGTGGGACTGAATTCCCAGACTGCGGGACTCTAGTAGGCGTAGAGTGTGATTGCAGTATAGTAGGAAAACATACAAGCGAGAAACGATTCGCCTACTGAGTCTCAGTCTATTTACACCTCAGTCTCCCCTGGTACCTTGCCTCTCTCCCATCCTTTCCTAGGGAACTGAGATTCCCTGGTCCCTGCCTTTCGTCAGATGGGGCTATTGCTGATGTCCCTTCCGCCCCCACCTCGTTCTTGCTCGCGCCTCGAAATTGTAAGGTCCCATTATCCTCGCGGCCCGATCCCTGAGCTCCTTCATACTTTGTACAGTACAGCACTGTACCTCTTTATTTCAATTATGCACTTCTTTCTTCTGATAATTCTCTGCTTCACTCACCTCTTCCCCTGCTGCTGTGTTAACCGTGGGGAGGCTCATGCCTTCCAACGGGTACCGCGACATTCATCCTCCCTCTCCTCCCCTTCCTGTGCTCCCTCATTCCCTCCTCCCCTGCTACTGCTTCCCCTGCGCCCAGCTTCAAACCCCTTCCCCCTCTTGGAGGCCTTGGACAGCAGGTCCACTCCCCATGATACACCACCATACACCTGGCAGCACTCACGCTGCAGGCCCCTCTTGGACGCCCCTCTTCGACGCCCCCCTTGGACGCCCTGCGACTCACATTGGATGCCCCTCTTGGAGGCCTTTGGCAGCAGGTCGCGCGCGACCATGTCGACGCAGTGGCGAACGGAGAGTGGCAGTGTCTCCAGCGACAAGCGGCCGGCCTGCAGCTTGGCGAGGTCGAGCACGGAGTTGAGCTGCGCCACGATGGCCGCCGCACACTCCTTCGCTGTTGCCAAATCTCGGTCCTGCGGCGGCCCCAGTGCGCTCTCCAGCAGCGCATCCATCATGCCTAACCGGGGAGGGGAGGGGGGAGGGGAGGTGGGGGAGGAGAGGTGGGGTAGGAGAGGGGAGTTAATACGAACCAAAGGCAGCAGCGCATCCATCATGCCAGCTCGCAATCCGGCCGTCCATCATGCCTTAAAGGACGGGGGCATGGGGGCTGGGGGGAAGGAGGAGAAGGGGAGTGAGAGAAGCGGGAGGGGGGGTTCGGTAACATGACTTTGTGTAACATTTCTCGTTGGCCCGGGCCCTGCTGTGCTGCCAACTCGCTCTCCAGCAGGGCGTCCATCATGCCTTGGGAAGGGGAGATGTTGGTCAGTTGGAAGCAACTTGCTTCTTGAAGAAACCGCGCAAGAGAGACGACCGCACATGACCACATGACCACATGACCCACGATGACCACATGACCCACGATGACCACATGACCCACGATGACCACATGACCCAAGATGACCACATGACCCACGATGACCACATGACCCACGATGACCACAAGGCATCATTCGAGATGACTTTTGAGTCGACTCAAAAGTCATCTCGTTACAATGTCACACGGAACTTTCGCTTCAAGAAGAACCATTCTCGCTTGGAGGCTGCCGAAGAGAGCTGGAAATTTCTTATTTCTGCTCATAAGTGTTAGACTACAGTATATTTGTACTGTTTTGTTTTTCTCTTTTCCCTGGCCATCGTCGAGACCCCGCAGAGGAATGCCTCGCGAGGAGTCCTCGAGGTGGTATTTATAGGCTAGCTAGTCTTGCTTATTTCTTTGTGGTCTGAAGAAGGCTCTCGAGCCGAAACCGGTTATTATCAAATCTTCACAAAGATTTTTCAAAAAGCAAGTTCTACACTCTGTTTTTTACTTCAGCGTTTTCTTGAGTTGCTGCCACGTGAAGACCTATGGCACCCAAGTGGTGTTCACTATGACCCACGATGACCACATGACCCACGATGACCACAAGGCATCATTCGTGTGCACGCACCTTGCATGCCCACGATGGGCGTGCGCAGCTCGTGCGCGAGGCTGGCCACGGTGTTGCTCTTGGAGCGGTCAGACTTCTCCAGCACCGCAGTGCACCGCTCCACCTGCCTCACAGCCGTCAGAGTCTCAGACCGCTTGCGCGCTAGCAGGAAGATGATCAGCGTGAGCAGCACCGCCACCACCAGCACCAGCAGCGCTACCAGCACCGGCGCCCACAGCAGCTTCCACTGACTGCCGCTGTCAAGGAATCTGCAGCACACGCACCACCGGGGGAGGTCGGACGGCTGTTGGAGTGAGCTCAAGTGACGAGACAGGTGGGCTCTTGAGGAAGTGCAGAGAGCGGGGGTTGCGAGGACAGTTGAAATGCAGTGCAAGGACGTGTGTCCAGGTGAGCAGGTGGGTGGACGCTTCTCTAGGTAAGCAGGTGAGGGGAGGGGGTCTGGCTGGAGGGAAGGATGGTCAGCTGCAGGCACCGCGGACGTTGGGGAGAGGTCCAAAGAAGTCCGCGAGTGAGTTTCGCAGGGCGAGATAGCATTGCGAGGTACGGCACACAGCATCAACAGGCGTACTGCGCATAGGATGTATGTATGGTACGCAGAGAGGACGGATAAGTAAGGATCACCCCCTTGTCTGCCTTCCTACAAGTACCTGCAGTGAGCTTCAATGGTCCTCTGGCAAAAGGGCTGTGGGAATGGTTTCACGTCCTTGTGGCCTGGCGCTATGGACGTGGAGTGCAGCCATGTGACGGGGCCGCTGAGACTGCCCTCGCCCCGCTTGCTGGCGTTGGTGCCGAATATGAGCACAGGGGCGTCGGGCTCGGTCATGTCGTAGAGACTGAATGAGTACTCGCTGGTTGCTGCATGTAGGAGGAGCAGATAGCACGTGGGAGGGCGGATTGCACGTGGGGGGCGGATTACATGTGGGAGGAGCAGATTGGTCTTGAGTCGACTCAAAAGCAGAATATGAGCACTGGGGCGTCAGGCTTGGTCATGTTGTAGAGATTGAATGAGTACTCGCTGGTTGCTGCACGTGGGGGGAGCAGATTGGATGTGGGGGGAGTGGATTGGATGTGGGGGGAGCAGATTGCCCATGAGGGGAGCAGATTGCACGTGGGGGGAGCAGATTGCACGTGGGGGGAGCAGATTGCACGTGGGAGGAGCAGATTGCACGTGGGAGGAGCAGATTGCACGTGGGGGGAGCAGATTGCACGTGGGAGGAGCAGATTGCACGTGGGAGGAGCAGATTGCACGTGGGAGGAGCAGATTGCACGTGGGGGGAGCAGATTGCACGTGGGGGGAGCAGATTGCACGTGGGAGGAGCAGATTGCACGTGGGGGGAGCAGATTGCACGTGGGAGGAGCAGATTACACGTGGGAGGAGCAGATTGCACGTGGGGGGAGCAGATTGCACGTGGGAGGAGCAGATTGCACGTGGGGGGAGCAGATTGCACGTGGGAGGAGCAGATTGCTCGTGGGAGGAGCAGATTGCACGTGGGGGGAACAGATGGGGGAGCAGATTGCACGTGCGTGGCACACAGCCAGCTGCAGAATTAACTATGTTGGTATGACAGAGCATGGCACAGGATATTGGACTAGGAGAGATTAATTGGCAAAGGACAGCAAAGGGAGAACGAGCAGCGGCTGACATTTGGCAAACACTAGTCCGTGCCAAATTTGAATCTCGCACCTCCAATCTCAGCTCTGTTCTGCCCCCATCCTGCTCTCCTCCTCCATCCTGCATCCCCCATCCTGCATCCCCATCCTGCTCTCCTCCTCTCCTCGCCTCTCCTCGCCACTCGTCATCCCCTCTCCCCTCTCCCTTCTCCCCACTCGCCTCTCGCCTCTCCCCTTTCTCTTCCCCTCCCTTTCGCACCTTGGTTGAGCACGTCCTTGAGTGCGTGGGAGATGAGTGTCTCCGTGTCGATCGCCGCCACTATGGCCCCAGCGTTGCTTGCCACGGCTTGCTCTAGCGACGGCTGCCGGGGAAACGGCGAGCGAAACATGGGGATGGCGTACGCTGCTTGGGGGGGGGGGGAAGAGGGGCACCGGGAGAGCAGGAGCATTAGGGCGGGACGAGGGGACAAGAAGGGAGGAGGGTGGGGGGGGGGAGGGAATGGGTGAGAGCGAGGGAGAAACAGAGCAGGGTAAACCGAAGGAGAAAGCGGGCGGAGGAAAGGAGAGGGAGCAGGTGTCATACTCAGGCTGAAAGCTAAGGGCGTCCTGAAGTTTGAGTGAAGTCGAACTATCCAAATTGGGAGCAGAAACAAAAATCACTAGAGAAGGGGCGTTAAACACTGGAAATGAGCAAGGGACACAAAGGCAGGAGGAAGAAACAGGAAAGGGGAGGAACGGAACGGAACGGACCAAACCCGGAGTGTGTGTTGGGGAAAACTAGAGGCGGCAGGGCAAAGCGCTGGCCCGACAGCAGGAACTGGTCGGCTGTGGGTTCGCGGAAGAAGTCAGTGCAGGGCGGGAAGGCGTAGGGCGCGGGATAGCGAAACACAGAGACGAGGTAGCGGGCAGCAGCAGGGGCCACTGCTCCCAGCGGTGTCTTCACGGTGCAGTTGAGCATTCTCTCCAAGAAAGGGCTGATGGACGCACGAGCAGAAGGGGTGGAGGGAGGGACAGAGGAGGACGGGTTGGGTTTCTGCCATGTGAAGCGGGTTGGGTGGATGGATCATGGAAAGGCAGCAGCCTCTGAAAGATAGATGGTCAAGCTTGTGAGGCTTCCCGAGAGTAGGAGCCCAGGGCCAAGAGCCCCATGCTAGTCGCCGAGTAGGCCGCGTTCATATCATGGCGGCACATGCATAGGTGATTCTTTAGGCGACTCAAAATTCATTCAGCCGGGTGCAAGTACACGCGGCAAAATCACTACTGAAGCCCAAGCAACGGACTGACCAATCGTTGGACGGACACAAACACACTGCGATCGGTCGGGACGGGATGGATCCCTGTGAGACACTTTGCGCGCTCCTCATCCATTCTCACCACACCATGCAGAGAACAACCAGTCTCGAGCCTTTAGCCACTTCAATTTTGCCTATAGCCCTCCCAAAGATCCCGTCTTCTCTGATATCAGGTCCTGTTTTCAATACCGGTGACTTGCGAAGTGTGTGAGTGTGTGTGAGTGTGTGTGTGTGTGTGAGTGTGTGTGAGTGAGTGTGAATGTGTGTGAGTGTGTGTGAGTGTGTGTGACCGATGTACACCAATTTAGCTTGCACACCAACCAACTGGAAGTTAGGGGAGCATGCCTAGTCCTGCCCCTCGACACGAAGGAAGTAAGAGAATGGGGAGTAGGGGGAGGAGGGGGAGGAGAAGACTCCTGGGAGGAGGAGGATGGGGAGGAGAAGAGGGCGCGGGGGGTATGCATGGCAGATTACAGGAGGCTTTAGTCGAACTTCAAACGAATGAAGAGCCCGTGGAGGGTGTGGTGTGGACGGGTGTGGAAGGGTGTGGAAGTGCATACCGTTCGTCGTGCCTGATGATGACCGTCCATGCGGCAATGGACCACGGCTGCACGCGTTGGATCCACTGCTCGCTGAAGGCGATCCACGTGGCATTGGTCACGCCGCCCTCGAGGCCCCAGTAGGAGGGGCTGCTGCTGTTGGTGGAGAAGCCGTTGAACACCTTTATGAGCCCGGCCAGGATCTGGAATTCCAATAGGGAAGTTGGGAGGAGGAGAAACGCTAAGGAGAAGTTGTAGTAGTAGTAGAAGTAGCGCAGCAGATATAATATAAGGTCACGCCCTACAGTTGAAAGTTCACCTGGTTGCCAAACAGGTGCTAAGGGCGTGTGGCAAGTACAATCGGAGTGACCTTCCGCTCCCATCGTCCGGTCGTTAACCTCTGTACCTCTTAACAATTGTTTTGAAACAAAGAAAATCACACTGTACCGCGTTGTACCAGACCTCCGTTCCGGTCTCATCGTTGTTCGCCTGTACGACCATTTGACCTGTTAAGGGTTATTTCCCCGACCCGGAGCTGGCAGTAAGGGGTACAAGGAATGCTCGCGCAATCTTTATCCACGCGTTCCTGCATCCCAAAATTTGGAAAACAGCAAATTTTCCACGCGACAACCTTTTCGGTAAACAATACCCTGCCACAGAGTCGGTAGGCACTTGAAACACCGTAAGTACTCCCTCTGCAAGGCGAGGGAGTACCAAGAATGTATTTGCGAGCGAAGTAGGCCAGGTGCATATACCCACACCCTCGTGACAACCTTGTTGCATCCTCGAGATAGGCTCGCCACCATGTGTCACCACCGTTGCGTCGGACGCTGTGGGCACGACGCAGCCTGAATATAAACAAGGAGCGGAACAGTGCACAAGCGACAACCAACAAGCCCGCGCCGCTGCGGGCCGAATGTACAAGGATTGGGGCAGGAGTGTGGCGTCAAAATCACGCCACGACCTCCTCTGGCCACGAATCATACATCATCCAATCACAAAACTCTTTACTGTATAACAAATTCGACCCAGGCGCAAACGACCCATGATGCTATGATGTTGCATGTACACCTGATGTTATGAATAATACCTGAGAGTGCGCGGAATAATACTGACTAGTACAAGAATGTGAACCTAACATTATATAGCGAGGAATCTAACTAGGCGACGAGCCCGGATGGCTTGGTTGGGTAAAGGCGCGGTCGAAAGGGTCGGATGCGGCGCGGGCGTGCCTCGGGGTCACGTTGAAAACGGACCGAGCCTTGTCTTCCTGTCAACTTATACATATGCTGTACATAGAAGTCATAGGCTAGCATAGGCGTGTGCTTCTAGTAAGTACAACCCCAACAGGTACATGTTCTAGGTTTCTCACACTAGTCATTCATTCTCACTTTCTGACACTTCCGAGAGTTCGGGTGTACGCGATTGCAGTACAACCCGGTAAGGAATATGATTCATTACACTTGCCATTATGAAAACTGTTGGGCTGATAAAAAGCCCTTGGGATCTTTCCAGAGACTAAGTCCCACTTGTACAAGATGCTTGAGTAGTGCAGCGGAAGTGTTGAGTGATTGAACCCTTGCACTAGTAAGTGAGAGCAAGTGAAAGATTAAAAGAAACAAGCATACACCAATCTACAGAACAATAAGAGATGAACCCGTTTGTAGAATATAGTTGAAGGAACGGTTATCAAGTCGCACAGCGACTGTGGGTGAAAATTCATGGCGGACTTAGATTAGAACACTTGGCGAATGCTTTGACAACATTTCCCGAAACACTTTTTGGTTCACGACAGCGAATGCTTAGAGGTGTCTTTTCGGTAATCTCCGTGGTTCGTTTACAAATGCATGGCGGTGTTCTTTCTACAACTTCTGCAGTAAACATGTAAATGCATAGAGAAGTTTATGCTCACCATTTTTAGTATTCAGCATGATTTGTTGCAAACGTTTGGCGGTGTTTTTCATGGATCCATTTTTGCAGGCTGCAGTACCCTTTTGGGCATAGTTCAGTACAATTCGGGCATGCCTCATTTGGATTTACTTATAATGCAACAAGCAAATTATTTGATATATTAAAAAAAACATCTACACCACAGTACACAACCACTATGGCCCAACCGCCCTTGCCTACCAGCACCCCTATGTGGGTCCCGCACTAACACAAAGAGAAACTGAGCGGCAGCACACCAGGAGCAGCAATTCTTGAAACTGGATTGGAATTCCTGCACGTTACGTTCAGAACTTGTTATCTCGAAATTAATCCAAGGTCGAAATCACCAACAATAAGGACAATGCTTACAACAACGAAGTAGCGCGACGCTGGATATTGAGTCCTGCACATTAGGTTCAAACATTGTAATCAAATTAGTTATATTCCATACGACAGCAATTACAAAAGCCAGCTTACCGGAGGAAATAGCTCGTGGTAGGCTACAAATTTCTGCACGTCATACGAGACATTGTTGTGAAATTAGTCCGACGATCAAATGACCAGCGAGACTTACAATTGGACTTACATGGGGAATTATCTCGATATTGGACAGAGTTACATAGCTAGCTGCGATAAAGACAAGCATCCTGAGGACACATGCGAATCATTAGTTTGATTGATACGTCAAGTAACAAATGCCTTCATACCCCCATGGCGTGCTGTGTGTGCCCGTATCGTGCGTGCATGGCGCCCTCCACCAGCAGCCCCGCCTGGAATCGCCCCGCCCACCACTCCGACGCCAAGCGACTACCCACCGCTGTCACGCCCGCACTGCATGGAGAGAGGAGGGGGTGGCAGGGGGCGGAAGCGGGAGGGTGGAGTGACGGTGTGCGCAAGAGTCGGGGAAGAGCGCACAAGACACAGAAGAACAGAATGGAGGCTGGACTCCTCGTGGCAGCTGCACTCCTCGTGGCGGCTGCACTCCTCGTGGTGGCTGCACTCCTCGTGGCCGCCTCACCATGAGGGCCACGCGTGCACAGCACACTCACACGATCACACGTATCAACGTGCGAACGCCACACTCTCCCCCACACTTCCTTGCCCTTTCATGCAGCAGGCCCTTCCCACTGCCCCCCACACTCGCACGTGCCTGCGAATGCCCTCTCATGGGCCTCTCTACTCCAGCAACCCATCCGTGGCACTTGTATGACCCCCCCCTCTCCGCCTGGCCATGACTGTTCACCTGTAGTCGAAGTAACGGTGCAGGGAGGCGAGGGAGGAGGAGAGATGGCGCGAGGAGAGAGACTCGTGGTGCTGCCACAGATGCACCTGATGCCATGCACCCACGCCATGCACCCATGTGATGCCATGCACCCATGTGATGCCATGCACCCATGTGATGCCATGCACCCATGTGATGCCATGCACCCATGTGATGCCATGCACCCATGTGCCATGCGCCCATGCCATGCCATGCAGCCATGTGATTCCATGCAACCATGCAGCCATGTGAAAGAAAGAGGTGAGTAAAGGCAAGGAGAGTGGTAGGTCGCATGGAGAGGCGTGGCGTGCAAGAGCCAAAAGGGGGTGGCATGGGCACGCAACAGGCAGAACAGAGGGCACACGGATGGGCTGCCAGGGATGGCTTCACACCGCCATGCATATAGCAAGGCACATGTATGCACCTTGGGTGGCAGGTCGTGCGCATACGCCATGGCGCTCACGTTGTCTGGCAGCGCACCACCCATGGCGCCAGCATGCCCCCCTTCACTGCTCCTCGGGCCTGCTGCTGCTGCGCCCAACCTGCAGCGCACACACGATGGACGGATGGATGGGGCATGCGCGTGAGAAGGGGAGTGCACGAGAGCGGATGCTCTCCATTCCGCTCTGCCCCCTCCACCTTCCCACACACACTACTAGCCATGCCTCTCTGCACGAGTCGCGCCGCACCGCTGCTGCGCCAAGCACACACATGGCAAGCACACACATGGCAAGCACAGCTCCAGGGGCGAGGGGGAGTGAGAGCAGCTGGGATGAGCGAAAAGGGAGAGAGGGCACGAAAGGGGGATCGAGACGGGCATAGACGGAACGAGTACAGGAGAGAGGAAAAGGACAGTGGAGAGAAGCGAAACAAGGGAAGAGGTGTTTCACCACCGTGCTCGCATCTGCTGGCGTCCGCGCACCTGGTGGCCGCCTCCATGCGCGCATCTAGGTACTCCGCCAGGCGCCCCGCCTCCCGAAGATACCGCTTCTGCGTGCCGCCTCCTCCCCTCACCCCTCCTTACTCTCCCGCCCCCCCAATGGCGCATTAGCTCATGAACATGCAGATAAGAATGACATGGGTGAACTAGACTAGTCACCTACGAGCTGCTTGAAATGATAGACCATCGTGAAACGAGATCCTCAGCATAGGGCACACTAAGAACGACCGTGGTAATCGAAGCCTGTGGGAGAGGAAGGAGCTGCTCACTAGGGGGCGCGTAGGCGAGAATGGGAGCTGAAACTGATGCAAATAGAACTGCCGAGGGCTATTATTGTAAGTAACGTCTAGCTGGAAGGCATGAGAGGGCGCAAGGGGGCAAGAAGTGTGTGGTGGGCTGGAGTGCTGGCATGTGGGGTGCAGCGTGGTGGGCTGGGTGGTTGGGGCGAGCAGGTGGTTGAGCTGGATTAGCCGCTCTGGAACCACTTGGCAGATTTTGATTGGTTGGACGAGGTGCAGGGGCTGAGTTGGATGAATAAATTTTGTTGGGTTCGGTTGCAGGTTTGGTAGGGGGCAAAGGGTGTGTGATTGGTCAGCACGTCATTTTGTCAATAGGGGCGTGTTTCTACAGACCCAAATATCAACAAATAGGACATGAAATTTTGGATCCCAGAATCCGCGTGCTCTATAGCACGCTGTAATTTGCGATTCAATTCGGTTCAGTTTGGTATTCACAAATTTCATAAAGCCGTGTTTTGCACCGATTCCGTTGGACTACGCCCTTCTTGGTGGTTGGATGGAGGTGTTGTAGCCAACACTTGTTACTATATATGCTAAGACGTTTTCGATATATTTCAGTGTGTGTCTTGGATTTGTTTAGTAGATTAAATCGCTTTCCATGGGAACTTGACTTTCTGAATGTATCTAGACTAATATGACTTTATGCTAAAGATAAAAAGCTACTCTTGTTGCCAAAATTGGTGCCAAGTTCATGTACTCTTACAGAACGACCGACAAGCCGTTCATAACCTGAAAAGGTCGCATATATATGTGGCAGGAAGAATGTTACAAACTTGAGGGAGAGAAATTGCGACCTCAAAATTCAAGTTGGCTTTACAACCCTGGACCAACTCAGTTACAAGGTGTCGTTCACA